TCCCCCCCCCCCCCTTCTCCCCCCCCCCCCCCCCAACCAAGAGGCCCATCCCCCCCCCCCCCCCCCCCTTCCACACACACCCCTGTCTAGACCTGTCTGATAAATCTCACCACGTGCTGGTTTTCTAGGTGGTGTCTTTAAGGGGCTGTCTTCTTTGTGGGATGGCTCTCTTGCTTGGGGGGATGGAGAGGTAGAATGGAGGGGAGAAGGGTCGTTCCGCACCCCGCTACACGCCGTGTGCGTCATGCCGTCACGGTATCGATTGCAGCTCCGTCTCGGTAAGCTTGAAGACGAATGGGAGGATTCCATAGTGAAGCACGAGGGTAGGCAGCGGGGTCGCATCCTCCAGCGCGCGCAGGTTGAGTTCCGCTCTCTGCATTTTGCGTTCCTTCATCTTGGCGAGGTTGGACTTGCGGAGATCCTTCACCTTGGCAAGCTCTGCTTTAAAGCGAGCAGCCTTATCGGGAAAGTCGCGCCACCACTTCTTTGTCGGGCGCTGCGCACCGCGCGAAATTAACAGATTCACAACACCCGTGAAATCGTCGAGCTGGAAAAGTGCGACACGCATCAATCCCATCTGCAGATAACCACGGCCTTCTTCCTGCTCCTTCTCCAAGCAACTGCGGAAACTAGGCCGGCCGCTCGTCGCCTCGAGATACTCGTCTACGGTCGTCGTGAATTCGTCAGTCCAATCAGGGGCTAGTTTGGCCCGATCTTCGAGGAGCTCCTCAAGCGTGTCAACGTGGTTGCCAACAGTCGCGCGAATTAGCAGTGGCATGTAGAATTGGCCTTGAGATGGAGATCTGGAGACGCGACTCAGGAGAAACTTCACTAATTCGAGCTTGCCCGAGCTGCACGCTTCGCAGAGTAGCTTCTTGGAGAGGATCTCTGGATCCGCCTCCGTCATGTTGAGACCCGCCCCGCGGTCGAGGAGAAGCCGTGCTACCTCTGGCTTGCCGGATGCGCACGCCGCGCTGATCCAGTCGCCCCCAGCGATCCACTCGTGGAGCGCCGCGGGCTGGAAGCGATCGAGGAGCAGTTCCGCCACCGCGACGTGGCCTTCGCCGCACGCCTTCTCCAAGAGATGTTTGACCACATCGATCGTAGGTTCGTGCTCGAGGAGGAGCTGAACGATGTCGCGATGGCCGTGACAGCACGCAAGTTCTAGCGGGTCGATCCACTGGTTGAGCGCCATGGGCTGGACGCGAGCGATGTACGCGAGGAGCAGTTCCGCCACCGCGACGTGACCTTCGCGGCACGCTACCACTAAGTCATCCTTCACCACATCGACCGCAGGTTCATGACCGAGGAGGAGTTCGACGATGCCGCGATGGCCGTGACGGCACGCGACGTCTAGCAGGTCGATCCACAGGTTGACCGCCGCGGGCTCGACGCGAGCGATGTACGCGAGGAGCAGTTCCGCCACCGCGACGTGGCCTTCGCGGCACGCTACCACTAAGTCATCCTTCACCACATCGACCGCAGGTTCATGACCGAGGAGGAGTTCGACGATGCCGCAATGGCCGTGACGGCACGCGACGTCTAGCGGGGTGCCCAACTGTCCGTCGATGCAGAACGCTTCGGCGTCGACCTTGGCGCCGGCGGCGAGGAGGCAGCGAACGATGTCGAGGTAGCCGTTGCGGCACGCGACGTGGAGCGGCGTGTAACCCCACGACGTCTCCCGGTTTACGTCGGCGTTGCGTTTGATAAGGTACTGCACCAGCTGGGCGTCGTTGTCGCGGCACGCCGCGTGTAGGTAGGTCACACGGTCCCCGAAGGACGCGGTCGGCCCGGTCCCGCACTCCTCGCGCGTGTCGCGGGTCGCCGTGTTGGGGTCGAAGTCAAGAGAATCGAGGCGTTCGGGGTCGAATGGCTTCTTCAGGCAGGAGGTCAGATGGGCCCGCATCGTGCCGTCGTTGTTCATCCTGTACCAACCGCCGCACAGCACGCACTCTGGTTTCGTCATCGCGCTCAGAAGGTGCTCCCGCTGGGCGCAATCCCGGCGCGTTCCGGAATTGCGTCATCGGTACTTCACCTTCAGGGATCGATCGGCCTGGGAGCCTCCTGGGGTGAGACGAGGCCGCGTCCTGGTCCTACTACGCAAGCATGGGTTCGGCGTTATAGGCGGCTATCGGCACCATGAGACGGCACGCGCGTGCGCCTAGAGCTCGCAGCACTCCGGACCTCGTAGGTGACAATCTCAGGAGGGCTGGTAAAATTGACACATTATAGACAGGCAGGCCGCCCGGACCCCCAGCGAACTACACGAGCGCCGTCGCCGCGCGCAGCAGGACGTCGCGTAAGTCTCCGCGCAGCAACGGTGTGTGTCTCGTCATCGCCCCGACGGGCGTCCGCCATCGCCACGGGATTCGGACGCGCGCCGCCGCCGCGCCGCAAAAGCATTCAGACGAGCTCCGTCGCCTTGCAGCAGGGCTTGGCCTGCTTCTCCGCGCAGCACGACGGCCGAGCGGCGAGCATCGTCTCCTTCTCCGCGGCGTCGTCGCAGCAGGACCGCGTCGCCGGCTCGAGCTTCGCGTTCGTCATGATGTAGTAGCTACGGTGTCACGTGTCAAGGGGCGGGAAAACACCCCGGGACGCGGCGCGCGCGCATGAAGGACGCCTGGGCGACGAAGGGCAGCACGTCGAAGACGAGCATCGCTGCGTAGAGCGACGACCCGGAGAGCCCGACGAAGAGCGTCCAGAAGAAGTAGTCGAGCACGCTCACGCCGGCCTGGCCCGCGAGGATCTGCGCGTTCGGCGTCACGTCCTCGAGCCGCGGCTCGCGCGCGCGGCCGTTGGCGTAGTTGTAGAGGAAGAGGCCCCAGCCGAGGCAGCAGAGGCACATGGCTTTTTCGACGCGCCGCGACCGGAGTTTTGCGACGAGCGATGGAGCTCTGGATCAGCGAGAGCGTATGGACGCGAGGACGACGCCGCGGTCGGTCTAGCTAGGCGACGGCGCGGCGCTGGCGGCGCCGAAGGAGGACTGGAGGCAGCTCGTGTGGAGCTCCAGGGTCAGTGGAGCAATTTTGAACTTCAAGTTGAAGGAGCGCCTACGCCCGGCTTTAGTGGCCCCCCCAGTGCCCGCGCCCGCCCAAAGTAGGCGCGTAGGCGAGGTGCGTCGCCTAATGCGCGAGAGAGAGAGGCTCGCAGGTGACCTAGGCCGTCGCCTCTCGCCTTGGGCACGCGACGCCTCCCCGACCCCTCAGGACCTCCATCGGTGTCCGGCTATGTAGCGTTCTTTTTAAGGGCGCCGCTGCCTATCGGGAAACCAGTGCTTGAGCGCGAATATGGCGTGTGCGTGGCCTTTGGCGGCCGCGCGCTCCCAATAGCGTTTGGCCTCGGTGATATTCACTTCCACGCCCTCTCCCGTTCTGTAGCAATGCCCAAGGTTGATCTCGGCGTCAGTGAATCCCTGATCCGCAGCCATCTTGAAAAGGCGGAACGCTTCCTCAAATTTTTTGTCTTGACGAAGATAGACTCCAAGATTGCGCTGCGCATGCGCGTCGCCTCGTTCCGAAGTGATGCGTATGAGTTGTAGCGCCTTCCTCCTGTCTAACTTGACGCCATCTCCAGTAGCGTACGCGGTGCTGAGCGGAATCGTAGCGTCCATGTCCCCGAGCTCCACGGCGCGCTTGTAAAGCTTTGCAGCCTTCTTCGCGGATTTCACGACGCCATGGTTAGGTCTGCCTTCGCGATAGATGTCACCGAGAGTCTTCATCGCTTCCGGCACCTCGTTCTCGACGTGGCGGCGAAGATGCGCGAGGTGTTCCGCAGCGGTTTTTGGGGCCGGTATGCGACAGAGAGTACAATGCGTTCCGCGGGTCTTGTCGTGACACGACCTGCAGATCGTCCGGCAGCAGCAGAAAAGAAGTGCCCTCTGTTCATTCACGTCCCAATCCTCGAGACAGATCGGGCACCGCGACCCGTACCGCGCCGACGCCGGCTCGGGCAACGGGTTCGCCTCGCGCCGCACGCGGGCCGCCTCGTGTTCCGCCGCGATGCGCGCGCGGACCTCGTCGGCGTGCGACCGCGGTGCAGGGCCGTAGAACATTTCCGGCGGCGGCGACGGCGGGGGCATCGGGGTCTCGGCCTCCGCCCGCTTCTCCTCCTCCGCGCGCTCGTTTCGGATCTTTTTGCACGCCTTCCGGTGGCCGCGGTCGCGCCAGTCAATTCTTTGGCATTCAGTCGAACAATACTGCGTAGTCGCACACGGACAGTTCAGCATGGTCTTCGGTTTCGTCCCACAAATCGTACACGTCAATCTCAGCTGTAGCGCTTTCGCCCGGGCTTTGACCTGCTCGAATTCCATCTGCTTCTTCTGCCAGTCCTTCATGGTCTCGACGTAGAGGAGGAGGGCCGGTCGTACAACTCGCGTCGGACGGGGTAAGCTTCACGGATGGGGTCGTGGGGGTAGACAGCGACTCTCTGTGCTGATCTGCCGCAAGACTGAAATCGCCGAAAGGCCTAACCTACCGAGCGCCTCCCCCAACAAGGCCCCCAACAAGCTCGCTCGAGCCCCACGCTTCCGGGTCTCTTTACCGCGGCGACTGGTCCATGGGCGTGGCGGCGTGGTCGATGGTGACGTGCTCGGCGAGCTCCTCCGCGTCGCTGAAGACGCGGCCGCGGTCCGCGGGGAGGTCGCGGTGGAACGCGCGGACGTCGTCGTAGAGGAGGCGCTGGATGGCGCTCTTCGTCAGCGCCACGGCCTCGACGTCGTCCATCTCGACGTGGAAGCCCGCGCGCGCCTCGAGCTCGTGCTCGCGGTAGTCCGCGAGGCACGCGTGGTCGATGCAGTCGGAGACGGGCGTCCGCTTCCGCGGGTCGAAGCCTGTGTGGATTCCAAACCTTCAACCCGACTTCAATGTGTGCGTATGCGACCGTTTCGACGCGAGGCTTTCTGCTGTGCTTCGAAAAGTCGATGAGAGCAATCGATCCGTCCAAAAATCAGCCGAATCGACTTCGATTTGACCGAGATAGAGAGTTCTGAAGTTTGGTGGGGACCCCCCAAACCAGTGGTTGATTTCCACACAGGTCGAAGCGGAGCATGCCCAGCACCAGGTCCAGCGCCCCCGGCGGCGCCCCGGGCACCTTGCGGTCCAACGGCTGCGCCGCGTAGGCCGGCAGCCCGTCGAGGAACTGGCGCGCGGATTTGTTCGTGACGAACCACGAGTCGCCGGGGTCCGTCGGCTTGCCGAGCTGCTTGAGGATGATCTTGAGCTGGTGCAGGTAGTCGTTGCCCGGGAAGAGGGGCTCCTTGATGAGCATCTCGACGAAGATGCACGCCGACGCCCAGACGTCGATGGCCGCGCCGTAGTGGTGGAAGCCGAGCATGACCTGCGCGGAAATCAAGCGCTGGTTTGGGGGGTCCCCACCAAACTTGAGAAATTCTCTATCTCGGTCACATCGAAGTCGATTCGGCTGATCTTTGGACGAATCGATTGCTCTCGTCGAGTTCTCGAAGCACGGCAGAAGAACTCGCGCCGAAACGGTCGATTACGCGCACATTGAAGTCGGGGTGAAGATTTGATTTCCACACGGAGCGCGACCTCCGGCGCGCGGTACCACCGCGTGACGACGTACTCCGTGAAGTTGTTCGCGCCGCCGTCGACGGCCGGCGCCTCGATGTAGCCGTCCGTCAGCGCCGCGCCCTCGTGGCTCAGGCAGCGGCTCAGGCCGAAGTCGCAGACCTTGAGGCCGCACGTCTTCACGTCGACGAGCAGGTTCGCGGGCTTGAGGTCGCGGTGGATGACGCCCGCCGAGTTGATGTAGTGGACGCCGCAGAGCGTCTGGTAGAAGAGGTAGAGCTGCTGGTCGGAGCTGAGGGCCGTCTTCGAGTAAATCACGCGCGAGAGGTCCGTCGTCGACAGCGGCGTCACGATGTAGAGGTCCTCAAAGTCCGCGGAGTGCGACGGCTCGACGATGTCGTAGAGCCCGAGCACGCAGGGGTGGTTCCAGTTGCGCATGAGGCGCACCTCCCGCAGGATCCGCTTCGCGTCGACCTGAGTGGATTCCAACCACTGGTTTGGGGGGTCCCCACCAAACTTCAGGACTCTCTATCTCGGTCAAATCGAAGTCGATTCGGCTGATTTTTGGACGAATCGATTGCTCTTGTGGAGTTCTCGAAGCACGGCAGAAAGTCTCGCGTCGAAACCGTCGAATACGCTCACATTGAAGTCGAGTTGAAGGTTTGGAATCCACACAGGCGTCGACGGCGTCCTCGAAGACGTTCGCGACCTTCTTGATCGCGACGTCGTAGGGCGCGCCGAAGCGCTCGCGCGCCTCGGCGGACGTGTCGCGGGCCGACGCGACGCAGCCGTAGGCGCCGGAGCCGACCTTCTTGACGAGCTCGTACTTGGGGTCGATCTGCCACGCCTCGCCCGCGAATTGGACCGTCGCGGACCGCACCGCGTGGCTCGCCTCGGACCGGAGCGCGCGCATCCAGGCGTCGCGGGCCGCGTCGTCGGCGGCGCCGCACTTGAGGGCGTGCTTCGCGAGGATGACCTGGAACCGCGACCCGGCGCCGGGGAGCACGTCGACCTTGGCGCCCCACGAGAGCTCGACGGCGCCCTTGGCGCGCGCGACGCGCGCCTCGTCGAGCACCCCGTCGAGCGCCCCGTCGAAGTACGCGAACCAGGCCCGCGAACTGTCGCGCTTCCGGTAGAGCGCGAACCAGCGCTTCTGCCACCGCATGACGCTCTTCTTCTCGAGCCACCCCGTCTTCACCGTCTCCATCGTTCGGTCTTGTGGTGGGCGCTCGGGTGGCGGCGTCGACGACGGGGGGTTGGCCGCGGGTGGGAGGGTCGGGCGGCGCGGCGCGTGAGTTTCTTGGTCGGCTCGCGCGCCGCGGATGCGCCAGGGCCTGGACGTTGCTGTGGACTTGCACAAAGACTCGGTCGCTTGCACAAAGCGGTGAACTCGGGTTGACAGTTTTTCAGCGGTCTAGTCGGCGCTCGGGGTGCTCGTAGCGCCCCTTTGCGCCCCCTGAAGCGACGACCTCGCCGAGCGCTACGGCCTCGACTTGCCGCAGAAGCGCTACGTCGCGCGCGCGCTCGCCCAGCTCTGGGCCTAGGGCGCCGCTAACGCTGTCGCGGCAACACCTTACTTCCAGCTGCATGGTTCCCGTGGTCGATGTGGCTCATCTCGTGGATCATGACCGCCAGGTTGTGCTCGACGGGGTAGAAGTCGTGGCTCTTGGGCCGCCGGAGGCGCATCGCGTTCGGGTCCCAGTTGCCGAAGCGTGCAACTGCAGAGCCGCGTCGCAGGGAGGAATGTGGGATGTTGCCGTCGATCGAGTCGCGGCGCGTGTTTTAACGTCGAGTAGAGAGGGAGACGGCTTTCGTAGCGCTCCTTGGCGCCCCCCCCGACCTCGAAGAAGACCCCTGAAGCGCAAAGATGGTCCTCTCTGACGACGAGCTCGCGCAGATCACCGCGCTCATCTCGGACTCGGGCGACGACGCCGTCGGGGCGAGCTCGGACGTGCACTGGCTCCTGTACTGCGGCGTCCTCGTCTTTCTGATGCAGGCGGGTTTCGCCATGCTCTGCGCCGGGTCCATCCGCGCGAAGAATGCGCAGAACATCCTGCTCAAGAACCTCATGGACGCGTGCGTCGGCGCGACGTGGTTCTGGGCGACGGGCTACGCGTTCGCGTACGGGTCCGACTCGTCCGGCGGCAACTGGTTCATCGGCGGGAACAAGTACTTCTTCCTCTCCAACGGCTACGAGGGCGACAGCGGCTTCCACGACTGGTTCTTCCAGTTCGCCTTCGCGGCGACGGCGGCGACGATCGTCTCCGGCGCCGTCGCGGAGCGGTGCTCCATGGGCGCGTACGCGGGCTACAGCGCGGTCCTCACGGGCTTCGTCTACCCCGTGGTCGTCCACTGGATCTGGAGCGGCGACGGCTTCCTCACGGCCTTCGTGCCCGAGGGCAAGACGGCCTGGCTCAAGGTCGGCGTCGTCGACTTCGCGGGCTGCGGCGTCGTCCACATGGTCGGCGGCGCGGCCGCGGGCATCGGCGCGGCGATCCTCGGGCCGCGCCTCGGCCGCTTCGGCCCGAACGCGAAGCCCATCAACGGCCACTCCATGCCCCTGGTGGTCCTGGGCACGTTCCTCCTCTGGGTCGGGTGGTACGGCTTCAACCCGGGGTCGACGCTCTGCATCGTCGGCTGCGACGCCGTCGCGGCCAAGGTCGCGGTGACGACGACGCTCGCGGCGGCCGCCGGCGGCCTCACGAACCTCTTCCTCCACTACGCGCTCTCCCACGTCTACGACGTCGGCGAGATGTGCAACGGCGTCCTCGCGGGGCTCGTGTCCATCACGTCCGCGTGCGCGGTCGTCGAGCCCTGGGCCGCGGTCGTCATCGGCTTCGTCGGCGCGTTCGTCTACACGGGGGGCAGCTTCCTCCTCGTGAAGCTCGAGATCGACGACGCGGTCAACGCGACGCCCGTGCACTACTTCGCGGGCGCGTGGGGCCTGCTCGCGCCCGCGCTCTTCGCGCGGCCCTACAACATGCGCGCGGCCTACGGCAACGCGGACCGCGCGGGCCTCTTCTACACGGGCGACGGCTCCATGCTCGCCTGCCAGGTCGTCGCGCTGCTCCTCATCACGGCCTGGGTCGCGGCGACGATGACGCCCTTCTTCCTCTTGATGAACGCGCTGGGCATCTTCCGCGTGTCGCGCGAGTTCGAGGAGGCCGGCCTCGACGAGTCGAAGCACGGCGGCAGCGCCTACGGCATCGATTTCAAGGAATTCAAGGAGGTCGAGATGCAGATCAAGACCGAGCTCGAGGCTTGACGGTCGTGATCCCCCCTCCCCGCCCCGCTCCTCAATCGAAACCCCCCCGCGTTCAGCGCGAGGAAGCTATGCCCCGAAAAAGCGGACGCGCGCCGATCGAAGATCCTCCGTGCTCGACCACAGGAAGCCCCCTCCCCCAACGCGCCGACGCGCGTCGACTTGCCTGCTCCCCCTGCGCGGAGGTGAAAGTCCTTTTCACGTGAAAGTGGAGAGGCAGCACTCCTCCAATTGTACTTCGTACTTGTCACCCTAAGTCTCTCAAGAAGCCCCTAGGGGGGGGCAGCGGCGGTAGCCCGTTGCGCTGGCGTTGCAGAGCGATCTCGCGTTTGCGGACCACCTCGCGCTGGCGTCGCCCCTCGGCGTCGCACCGTTCCTGGGGCCGCAGCGACTGCGCGAGCCGCCTCCACCCCACACGAGCAACCAACCACAGCTACACACGTTACTTCTCCAGCACCACGGAAACATCGTCGTCGTCGTCGGGCCAGAACGCCGCCGGCCCCTGGCTCCCGGGCGGCGACCGCGGGATGTCCGGCGGGTCGAGGAGCTCGTCGTCCGAGCCGCCGTCGTCGTCGGCGACGTCCAGCGCCGCGGTGTCGCCCTCGTCGCGGATCCAGCGCGCGGCGTCGCCGTCGGACTCGCGCTTCGACTCGGCGCGCTGGACGCCCTCCGCGTCGCGGAAGCCCTCGAAGGCGAGGGAGAAGTGGCGCTTCGACCGCTCGTCGCGGCGGAGCGCGCGGCGCGCGCGGCGGCCCGGGTCGAGGCGCCGCCGGAGCGCGTAGGCCGCGCGCGACGCGGCGAAGAGCAGTCCGAGCACGAGGAAGAGGCCGAGGAGGAGCACGGCCAGCACGACCGTCGACAGGTGCCGCGAGAAGGCCGCGCGGTCCAGCGCGCCCTGGAGCCGCGACGCCGCGGCCATGAGGACGACGTTGCACGCCTCCTCGATGGCGATGTCCTGGAGCTCGCCGTGGAGGGCCGTGAAGCCCGCCCAGAACGCGAGGAGCGCGGCGTAGTACGCCGGCGCGCGCCACGCGAGACCGTCGCCGAGGTCCGCGAGGTAGTCGGACCGCCAGAGCGGCGACGCGGCGCGGAACGCGGCGTTGCGCGCCGCGTGGCCCGGCTCGAGGAGCTCCGGCTCGCCGAGGTCCCAGGCCGCGGCCGCGGCGACGCGCGCGGCGACCGCGGCCGCGCCGCGGCGGCCGGCGGCCGCGCGGCGCCGCGCGAGGCGGTCCGCGCCCGCGGCCAGCGCCGTCGCGCGGCGCTTGAGCACCGGCGGCGTCGCACCGCCGCGGTCCGCGACGCTCGCGGGCACGGGCAGCCCCACGGACCGGAACGACGCGTCCGCGGACCGCGCGAGCAGGTCCGCGGGCCCGAGGAACGCGCCGGCCTCGCGGAACGGCAGCACGAGCCGCACGGGGTCCCGGTAGTGCTCGAGCTTCGCCCAGACGAGGAGCGGGATCGCGCACTCGACGGCCACGATCCGCAGCGGCTCCAGGAGCCCGAAGACGAAGAGGACCGCGCAGAGCGCGTCGACCCACCACGTAAAGGGGGTGTCCGCGTCGCGCGCGAGGCCGAAGACGAGGAGCTGCCAGGCGACGCCGCCGGCGACGCCGAAGACGGCGCCGGCGCCGGCGACGCGGACTTTCCACGCGACGCCGGGGTCGACGACCTCCCGCCGGTCGTAGCCGCCGACGGACCGCTCCAGCACGCGCCGCTCCCGCCGGTCCAGGAACTCGAAGCGCCGCACGTGGTAGACGATGGCGCAGACGACGTCGTGCGACTCGTCGCCGGCGGCCGCGTCGACGGCGCCCGCGGCGTCGACGGCGTCGCGCGCCGCGGTCTTGAGGATTCTGAACGCGCGCTCCGCGAACGGGAGCCGCCAGTGCGCCCGCTCCGGGTGGAGGGCCCAGCGCGCCTCCAGCGCCGCCCGCAGGCGCCGGAGCTGCGCGTCCGCCGGCTGCTCCGCGAGCGCGTCCACGAGCTCCTGGCGGCGCCGTAAGATATGTCGCAGGAGCGCGGGCAGCGCGCGCGCGGCCTCGGCGTCGACGTCGCCCGCCGCGCACCGGAACTCATCCTCCGCCCCACCGGCGTAGCCCGCGGCGTCGTCGGACCGCCGCAGCGCCGCGCGCAGCTCCGCGAAGAGCGCCGCGGCCGCGTCGCGGCGCGCCGCGAAGCCGTCGCCGAGTGGCGCGGACGGCGCGCCCGGCCGCTCGGGCCCGACGCGCGCCCGCGGCGCCGTCGGCCGGAACACGACGCGCTCGCAGAGCCATTCGAGCGCCGCGAGGGACGGCAGGTAGAGCGCGACCGCTAAAACCGTGAGCCGGAGCCGCAGCGCCGCGTCGCGCGCGTCCGGCGGCGCCAACGCGCACGCCGGTTCCACCGCCGCGTCGTAGGCGCAGAGCCGCCGGTCGCGGAAGACGGGCGACCGCAGGGCCTCGCAGGTGACCGGGTCGTCGGACCGCGACGCGCAGACCCCGTCGGGGAACGCGAGCTCGTAGAAGAGCGCCTCCGCGTAGAGGACGCCCAGCACGGCGAGGAAGAAGACGAACGCGCGCGACGGCCGGCTCCGCGACGGGTGCCACGTCAGGACGTTCAGCAGGCCGTGGTGCCGCAGGAGCGCGTCCCACACAAAGCGCCGCGGCGTCGCGAGCTCGCGCATGAAGCGGGGCAGCGACGCGGCGACGAGCTCCGCGTGCGTCTCGTCGCGCGGCCGCGTCGTCGGCCTCGACGACCGCGAACTTCGACGTCGTCCGCCGGTACGCGTCGCGCTCCGCCGCGCCGGCCCGCGCGTCGGCGGCGGCGCCCCAGGCGCCGAGCAGCGCGCAGAAGGCGGCGACGCCGGCCAGCGTCGCGAGGAGGAGCCCGTTCCGCGCGACGACGCGGTCGCTCAGGCCCTCCTCCGCCAGGAGCTCGCGGTAGTAGGTCGCGTAGACCTCGTCCGTCGTCGCCGCGTGCTCCGAGAGGCTCGGCGCGTCCGGGTCGACGGCGCAGGCGCAGACGACGGCGCCGTCGTCCGCGACGCCGGCGACGGCGCACGCCGGCGCGCGCGGCCCGCCCCACGCGAGGCTCCCCGCGGACGCGGAGAGGCACGCGGCCTCCCGCGCCGCGGAGCAGTTGAGCTCGTAGGACGCCGGCTCGTCGCCGCAGGCCAGCGTCGCGTTCTCGGCGCCGCCGGGGCAGCGGGTGGTCGCGGCCGCGCGCGACCCGTCGCAGGCGACGACGCCGGACGTCTCGCCGAGCGGCCCCGGCCGCGGCGCGTTCGGGAGCGCCGGGAGCTCGAGGAGCACCTCGACGGTCCCGTCCTTCCGGGAGCCCCCCTTCTTGAGCCGCCTCCGGGCGGCCGTCGGGTCGCGGCGCACGTTCGCGGCGAGCACCGTCGACGCGAGCGCCTCGCCGGTGCGCGCGTTGACGAAGAGCTCCGCGACCGTCGCGTCGAGGGCCGCGCCGCCCGCCGCCGCGAGGCGGAGCGCGCCCGGCGACCCCGGCGGCGACAGCTTCGCCGTCGCGGTGTCGCCGAATTTCACGGACGCGACCCGGAGCTTGTCGCCCGTCAACTCCTTCGCCTCCTGGCCGACGACGCTGTCGACGAGCGTCGCCTTGCCGAGCTCGAGGATCGCCGCGGACACGTTGGCCAGCGCGCCGCTCCGGGGCACGGCCGTCGCGTTACCGAGGCGCCGGCGGCCCGCGCGGGACGCCGCGGCGCCGCCGAGCAGGGACGACAGCGCCGTCACGAGCGCGTCGCCCGTGCCCGCGTCGAGGCCCACCTCCGCCGAGCCGAGCGCGACCTGCAGGGCGATCTGCGACGTCCGCGCGTCCGAGTCCGCGTCCATGCCCGCGGCCGCGGATAGCGTCGACAGGAGGCCCGCCTGCTGCTTGAGCGCGCCCTTGGTCACGGGCTGCTTCGCCGCGGCGTCGGCCAACGCCTCGATGAAGGACGCGCGGAGCGCGAGCTCGGCCTCGAACTCGTCCAGCGTCTGGTCGCAGTGCTCGCCGCGCCAGCCCTCGAAGCAGACGCACGTGGGCGTGCAGAACCCCGCGCAGGCGCTGGACCCGTCGGCGACGTCGCCGTTGAAGTCGACGACGACGCAGTCGCCGCGGTCCGGGTGGCAGAGCGGGCAGGCGAGCGTGGGCGACGCCGTCGGCGACGGCGCGGGCGCGGCCGTCGGCGGCGCGGTCGGCGACGGCGCGGGCGCGGCGCTCGGCGCGGCGCTCGGCGACGCCGTCGACGGCGCGAGCGACGGCGCGGCGGTCGGCGACGGGATGGGGAGGGCCGTGGTGGGCGACGAGCTCGGCACGTCCGTGGGCGCCGGGACCGGCGCGGCCGTCGGGTTCCCGGGGACCACCGTCGGCCCCGGCGTCGGCGCGGGCGTCGGCGCGGGCGTCGTCGGCGCGGCCGTGGGGGTCCGCGACGGCGCGGCCGACGGCGCGGCCGTCGTCGGCTCGGCCGTGGGGGCCCGCGACGGCGCGGCCGACGGCGCGGCCGTCGTCGGCCGGCGCGTCGGCGCGGCCGTCGGCGCGGCCGTCGGCGCGGCCGTCGGGTCCGCGGCCGCCGCGGCGTCGAGCATGGACGCCAGCGCGAAGATGGCCGCGAAGGTGCCCTCGACGTCGCCCGTCGCCTCGAGGTCCTCGAGCAGCGCCGTGGATTCGGTGTAGATGCTGTCGTCCGCGGTCGGATCCGTGGAGAACGTCGCCGGGCGCACGCGGGCGACGGTCGTCGCGCGCGCGACGGCCTGTAGCGCGTCCTTCACGGAGACGCCGACGACGAGCGCGTGGCCGTTCCCGGCGTCGCCCACGGGCAGGATCGCGTCGAAGGACGGCTCGAGCGCGTCGTAGATGAGCGAGTTCTCGGCGCCGGCGACCTCCGAGAAGAAGGTGTAGGCCAGCGGGTAGTCGTCGTCGACCCACGACGCCGCCGTCAACCCAAAGATCGTCCGCGCGGCTTCGCCGTCGACGGGGTCGACGTCGACGCCGCCGCTCGTCGGCGCGCGGTTCGCGACGAAGGCGACCGTCGCGGACGCGGACACGTGCCGGTTCGGGCCCGACGCGACGCGCGCCTCCAGCGCGAAGGCGTAGGCCGCGCCCATGGTCAGCGCGCCCGCGGCGAGCACGAGGGGCACGTCCCTGGACGGCGCGTCCGTGGCGCCCTTGTACCTGGTGCGCGCGAAGTCGTCGAGCTCGCCGTTCAGCGACCCGGCGACGAGGGACCAGCCGTAGGTCACGCCGCGCGCGCGGTCCTTGTCGCTGGGGGCCACGCTGCCGAAGAGCGTGAGGTCCAGCGACGGGTTGACCTTGCCGTCGACGGGCCGCAAGGCTACCCGAGGCACGGGCTCGGCGACGACGAAGACCGTCTGCGCCGCGGCCGCGGCGCGGCCGTCGGCCGCCGACACGACGAGCGCGACCGAGTAGTTCCCGGGCGGGCCCAGGTCCCGCGCGGCGAAGGACGGCGACGCGCCCGTCGCCGACAGGCGGCCCGCGGTCCACGCGAAGGCCAGCGCGCCGCCGTCCTCGGCGTCGGGATCGCGGCTCGCGGACCCGTCGAGTTCGAGCGTCTCGGACCGCGACAGCGTGCGCTCGCCGCCGCCGGCGATGAGCGCGACGAGCGGCGCGCGCGGCGTGGCGACGCGGCAGCTCGCGGCGTTTTGGCGGCCGGAGACGTCGGTGACCGCGACCTCCAGCGCCAACACGGACGCGCCGGGCAGCGCGAAGGGCGCGGCCTCGAAGATGCGGTCGTCGGGCGACGCGTTCGCGACGGCTTCGCCGTTTTCCAAAACCGCCGTCCAGGCGTAGCGCAGGTTCGGCCGCGTCTCCGGCTCGCCCGCGCAGCGCGCGACCTCCGCGGCGCTCCGCACGCGGATGCCCGCGGCGCTCGACGTCGCCGCCTGGTCCTCGCCGCCGACGATGGACACGGACGGCGCCGACGCCGTCAGGACCTCGACGCGCAGCGTCGGCGACGCGCCCGCGGCGCCGAGGAAGTTGCCCAGCGTCAGCGACGCGTCGAACGCGAGGCCCGCGAGCGCCTCGACGACGTCCGCGCCGACGGTCGCGTGGAGTTTCCGCTCGCGCGACGCGGTCCTCGCGACGGCCCGGAGCGCCTCGGCCTGGGCGTCCGTGCCGCCGCGCGCCTCGAGGGACCAGCGGACGAGCGTCCAGGGCCGGCCGCCGCTGTTGACGGACGCGGCGGCGCCGAGCTCCACGGCGGAGCACGCGCCGACGCGCTGCGGGCCGGTGAGCGACACGGCCGGCTGCGGGGGATGCCGCGGCGGCTCGAGCGCCATCGTCGTCGCGTTCGCGTAGCGCGAGCAGGGCAGCGCGCCGAAGCCGCGGAGCGCGTCCGCGACGAGCGTGACGTTGTCGCCGGGGACGACGACGGAGTCGCGGGACAGGGCCGCGGTGGCGCGCGCGTCGGTGACGAAGGCGCAGGCCGTCGCGTCGGCGCCCGCGAAGGCGAAGAGCGCGTCGCAGGGGAACTCGGCGCCGCCGAAGCCGCCGCGGTCGCTGGGCCCGTCGAGGATCAGGTCGACGATGCCGCCCGTGTCGCCGAAGCGCGCTTCGCGAAGCGTCGGCGGCGGCACGTCGGGCCGCTCGGCGCAGGCCGACGGCGCGAGGGTCGGCGCCGCGCTGGGGGCCGACGTCGTGGGCGCGAGCGACGGTTCCGGCGTCGGCGCGGGCGACGGCGCGGGCGTCGGCGCGGGCGACGGCGCCGGCGACGGCGCCGGCGACGGTCCCGGCGACGGTCCCGGCGTCGGCGCGGGCGACGGCGCGGGCGTGGGCCGCGGCGTCGGTCGGGGCGACGGCGCGGGCGTCGGCGCGGGCGACGGCGCGGGCGTCGGCCGCGGGCTCGGCGCGGGCGTCGGCCGCGGCGTCGGCGCGAAGACGGGCGCCGCCGTCGGGTTCCCCGGGACGACCGTCGGGAAGGGCGTGGGCCGCGGGCTCGGCGCGGGCGTCGGCGCGTGCGACGGCGCGGGCGTGGGCCGCGGGCTCGGCCGCGGGCTCGGCGCGGGCGTCGGCGCGGGCGACGGCGGCCACAGCTGCTCGGCGCCGCCGCTCCAGGACGCGGACGTGGAGACGTCGACGCGGTAGAGCACGGTGTGCGAGAAGGACGCCACGGCGACGAAGGCGGGGTCGAAGTAGCCCACGTCGACGTCGACGTCCAACGGGAGCGTGAGCGCGCCGGTTCCGTCGTGGGCCGCGCCGTCGCAGGTCGCGAGCTCCTCGGCCGTCGTCGACACGGTGGCCACGGACCGCTCCTCGCAGGCGCCGTCGTCGACGACGCAGCCGACGTGGACCAGCGCGAAGTCGAGGCAGTCCGAGCGCAGCGCGACGGCGGTCGTCGACGGCGACGACGTGCCCGCGGTGACGACGGACAGCGACAGCGACAGGTTCGCGCCCGCCTCGAGCTCGAGGAACGGCGCGACGGAGCTCTCGAGGCCGCGCGTGAGGCCCCAGAGCGTCGGGCAGGGGGCGTTCGACGACGCGCAGGACAGGTCGGTCTGCGTCTCGTAAGCGGCGCCGGCGGCGAGGACGGCCCAGGCGGCGTACGCGCGCATCGCGGCGGGTCCTCACGGCGCCGCGCCCTGTGTCGCCATCGCGTGGGATACGTGCGGTCGTCCCAGCCGATGGAGTCCGGGCATTTTGGGCTCCATCGTGGGCACTTTTGATGGCCAGAAAAGAAGAGGTTCAAACAACGGGATTTCAAAATGTTAACCTTCTGAGCCTCCCCGGCACCTCCCGGCGGGATCCTCGGGTGCGCACCCCCTTCAATAACTTGGTCAACCTTGGCGCAGCGCGGCCGAGGACGAGTCTCGTTCAGGGCATGGATCTTACGCGCTCAGCCCTTCTTCTCAGGCTTCGCATCGATAGCAAGCATCTTCAGGACCCTGGTTTTCTCGCCCTTTTTGAGCGGGTCGTCGGCCGTCGTCACCTCGCCCGTGAGCTCCGTGGCGGCCCACCGCGCGAGGCCCAGGAGCGCGCCCGTGGCGATGACGGGGGCGGGGTTCTGCTTCAGCACCTCCGCGGTGCCGACGACGGCGGCCGCGAGACCGGCCGCGAGGCCCGCGCCTTCGGCCGCGCCCAGCGCCGGTTCGGCCAGAGGCGCGAGCTTCGAGAGGACCATGGTGCCCGACTCCGAGAGCGCCTCCACGCCCGCGCCGACCTTGGCCAGCGCGTCAGCGCCCGCTCCTCCGGAGAGCGCCTCCACGCCCGCGCCGACCTTGACGGCCGAAGAGTCCGCGACGCCGGACGCCGCGACGCCCTTGACGACCCGGCTCACCGTCTCCGCGCCTCCGGACGCCGCGACGCTCTTCGCGACCTTGGTCGCGGTCTCGGCGCCTCCGGACGCCGCGAAGCCTTTCGCGACCTTGGTCGCGGTCTCGGCGCCTCCGGACGCGGAGACGCCCTTGGCGACCTTGGTCACCGTCTCCGCGCCTCCGGTCTTCAGCGTGTCGGCGCCCGCCACCACGACCTTTTTGGCGACGCGCCCGGCCCCCGATCCGGCGACGCGCCCGGCGACGCCCGCGGCGCCCGAGTTGTCGAGCGCGCCGCCCGCGGCGGCGGCCGCGAGCGCGCCGGCCCCGGCTTGCGTCGCCGGCGCGACGCTATCGAGCGTGCCCGCCGCCGCGACGGCCGCCGCGCTCGCGGCCACGGTCGCGGCCTCGGAGATCGCGGGCGCGCTCTCCGTCGCGACCTCGGCGGCGACGGGCGCCGCCGCGGTCACGGTCTGGCTCGCGCCCTCGACGATCACGGCGGCGGGCGCCGCCGCGGCGGTGGCCGCCGCGGAGGCGACGCCGTCCGCGAGCGCGGGCGCCGTCGCTTCCGCGAGCGCCGGCGCGGCGGCCGTGGCGCCGGTCACGACGTCCGCGGCGGTCGTCGTCGCCGCCGCGAACGAGGCCACGACGTCGGCCGCCGAACCCGCGCCCGCGGCCGTCAGCGCCGCGCCGACGTCGGCCGAACCTGCACCCGCGGCCGTCAGCGCTGCGCCATCAAGGAGAGGGTCGCCGATCGTCGTCGCAGCGACCGCTCCAGCGGCAGCGACCGCGGCGGCGACCGCCGTGGCGGTCTCGTTGCCGACGGCCTCCGCCTCCCCGTTCTCCTGCGCTTGCGGTGTTGTAAGCCTCGCGCGTTTATGTTTATGCGCATACGACGGCAATGCGTTGAACGCGCTGGTCTGCATGCAGAGCGACGCTGCGAAACAGAGCCATGCGAGAGCAGTCGATGGACCAAGTGATGGACCCATTGCAGCCGAAGCGACCTCAAGAACAGATGCGACCTCAGCTTGAAGTCAACCCGGCCAAAGGGCGCTCAGTCGAGCGCGCATCCCCTTCAATAGCTTGGTCAACCTCATTTCACGTGTTACCCCCTCATGTGCGACCAGCGGAGCGTCGGCGAGAGCGCGTTGTAGTGCTCCTCGAAGCTCAGCACGCGGCCGCCGTCGACGACCAGGCCCTTCGCCTCGCGGAGGTCCTGGTCGTCCTTCTTCGATCTTCGGTTCAAATCCGCGCGGTCGTCGAGGTGCGGCCGGTTGCTGTTGAACCAGCCGCTGTAGGCCAGCCTCTTGAAGCGCGCCGGCGTCTGCGGCGCGACGGGCGAGACGAAGTGCCAGGTGGAATCGGACGTCACGAAGAGGCTCATCGCGTTGAACGCCGGGTGGATGTGGTACATGGGGTCCAGGAAGACGAGGTCGCCGCCGAACTTCGGGTCCCAGTCCGTCGTCAGGTGCAACACATAAGACAGCTTCCGCGCGTTCGTCCCGTCGCTGTGGGACATGGTGTAGTCCCCCGGCCGATAGTAGGTGCCGTGGCACGTCGTCGACGCGTCGAAGTAGTCCGGCGGCGCGGACAGCAGCTCCGCGGCCCAGGCCTTGAGGTGGCGCGAGTTGAAGAGGCCGTGCATGGCGTGGAGCACGGTCGCGTTCGCCTTCCAATAGTTGTCGGCGTTCGAATCGAGCATGAGGAAGTGGAACTGGTAGAAGCGGCTGAAGCCCTGGACCGGCGACCACTGCTCCGACGCGGCCATCTCGCCCGCGAGGGTCGCGGCGACGTCGTCGGCGAGGAACCCTCGGATCTGCGCCAGGCCGCCGTGCCGGGCGAGCTGGTTGCGGAGCGCCGCCGTCTGCGTCCGCCGCGCGGCCGGGTCGCGCCACCAGGCTCCCAGCCAGTCGTCGACGTCGTCGAGCTCGTCGAAGTACGCCTCGGCCCGCGCGAGCAGCTCCTTCTTCGTCGCGCCGCCCGGGAAGATCGTCGGCGGCGGCTTCGGCGCCGCGGATCGCGCCGGCGGCGGCGGCGGCTGGCCGCGCTCGCGGTCGCGGTGCGCCTCGTGCTGCGACAGCGCCTCGAGGTTGGCCACGCACGTCGCGTCGCCCGGCGCGAGGCGGATGGCCTCCTCGAGGGACGCGCGCGCGTCCTCGAGGTGGCCCATGCGCATCAGGGTCACGCCGACGTTCTGCCAGCGGCGGCTGTCCTGGGGCTCGGCCTCGCGCGCGTCGAAGAAGCGCTCGAGGGCCTCCTGCATGCGGCCCTGGCCCGCGAGGCCGATGGCTTCGTCCGTGAGCGTGTCGCCGAGCGACTTCAGGGGCTCGGCCGACGCGGCGGCGAGGAGGAGCACGACCACGGCGGATCTTTTCACCGCCGCCATCACGGTGGATCTTTTCGCCGCCGCCATGCCTTCTCGGCTGGAAGTGCGGGGCAGCATCCGTGCTCATCTTTCACGGTGCCGTCGGAGAGCGCGCTAATGGTGTGCCTGTAATTCTCGGAGAGGCCCGTACCTGAGTGCTCGCCTTGCTCCGGCTTGCAAAGAAGTGTGACGCCATGCGTCCCGCGCGCGCGGACTGGTCCGGCGGCCATTTTCGCACGCCCCTGGAGCCGCTCAAGCCCTTCCCGAACACGCAGTCCTGCCTGGGCCACTACTCCAAGGCGTCCATCGACCGCACGCTGCTGCGGGACCACGAGCTGCCGCGGAGCTGGCCGAGCGAGACCGTGCGCATCCCCGAGTACCCCATGGCGAAGGAGCCGCCGAGCCCCGCGGACGACCGGTTCCCGTGGCTGCCCTTCGAGCGCGAGTCCGTCGACGAGCTGCGCTTCTCCAACCTGCTGGAGAGTCTGAACCGGCGCTACGGCACGGGCTCGCGCGCGGGGGGCGGGCGGCGGCGGTCGACGATGCGCATCAGCAAGGGCGACCGCGACGACACCACAAACTACGAGGCGGTGGCCGAGACGTCCGCGTCCCCGCGGAAGAAGAAGGCCTTCCGCTTCGGCGACCCGGCCCAGAACCGGCTGCGGGACGCCGACTCGCTCAAGCGCATGCAGAGCTGGCTCGCCTGCGAGAAGGTCGACGGCGGCCGGACGAAGTACGGCGACGCGACGGATTTGAGGATGGCGCACTGGATCGAGGCGCACGTCGAGCGCGTCGAGGCCGAGGCCCAGGCCCGCGCCCTCGAGGAGGCGGCGAAGCAGAACAAGTACCGCCGCGCGTCCCACTACGGCAACATCATGGACAAGGCCGACGGCGCCGCCGTCATGTCGGGCTACGCGGGCAACACGCTGTCGATGACGTCGGACCCGACGGGCCTCCCCGCGGCCATGAAGGCCGAGAAGCGCCGCACGATGGCCTACGTGAAGACGTAAGGGGTTTGGCAGGTCTAGAGGCTTTGGGTCGTTGAAGGTTGTATTGAATGCTAGTTGCACTCAAATCATCCGACTGGCAAAAACCATCCTCGGCTCCTCGTCATACGCGGAGCCGCTGGCCTGGGCGACGCGCGGCGACGTCGACGACGACCACGGCGCGGGCCACGACATCGCCCTCGCCCAGCGCGCCGACATCCGGCGCCTCCAGTCCATCAAGTTCCACCGCTCGCCCCCCGTGCAGAGCGCGGCGTAAAAAGAAGAGATGCTCGAGGACGGCGCCGCCGACGAGACGGACGCCCTCGTGACGGCCCTGACCAAGTCGAAGCTCCAGCGCTCCGGGCCGAGCTTCGAGCCGACGTCCAACCCCAAGGTGACCCGCTACTACGACACCGACGACGACGACGACTACATCGAGGTCGAGGAGGTCGAGCTCAGCGCCGAGGAGCTCAAGGCCATGCGCGGCCCCTTCGGCCTGCCGCAGCGCAACGCGGAGCGCCGGTCGCCGCCGCAGCGGCGCCCGCCCGGCGAGCTCGCGGCGATGCGCGGCACCTTCGACCTGCTCCGCCGCCGGTCGGGCCTCGCGCCCGCGCCGGGCCGCCTCGTCCTCGACGGGAACCCGCTGCGGTCGCGGCGCCTCGCGGGCCGCTCGCGGAGCCGCTCGCGGAGCCGGAGCCGGGACCGCGAGGAGGAGTGCTGCATGTCCGACGGCGACGACGACGACCGCGGCGACGCCGCGTTCCTCACGGCCTGGCCCGAGGCGCCGACGCCGGCGCCGAGCGTCGCCGAGCCCAAGGAGCCCGAGTCGGCCGAGGGGCCCCGGCTCCGGCGCGCCCACACCCACTAACAGTTTTGCGGAACGCGCGCCGCGGAGTCGCCTGAGCTTCTTAGACCGAGCCGTCGGAGACGTCCGGCAGCTTGACGCCCGGCTTCACGTCTCCCAATCGCGCGAGCGCCGCGGCCGTGAGCGCCTGGGGCCCCGCGGGCCCGGCCGCGGCGCCGAGGCGCGACTGGTCCGGCGGCGGCTCCTGGAAGAACGCCGCGGCCTTGCCGCGGCGGTCGGCCGCCGCGGCTTCGAGGTGCGGCGCGGACACGTGCGCGGTCTGCGGGTTCGCCGGCTCCGGGTCGTCGGCCGTGTCCGCGGCGTCGTCGGCGATCAGCTCGTCGACGTGGGCCCGGAGGCACGTGTCGAAGGCCTCGCGGCGCCCGCTCTGGACGTACTCGCCCGCGGGCCCGCAGTCGACGCCGTAGCCGCCCTCGAGCACGGACACGACGCGCCCGCAGCAGTTCCGCCGCGCCCAGTCGACGCAGGCCCGCGTGAGGTCGCCGTAGTCCGACGCGTCGAAGCGGCCCAGGTCCACGGGGTCGCGCTTGTGCGCGTCGAAGCCGCTGCTCAGGATGAGCAGGTCCGGGCGGAAGCCGTCCAAGGCCTTCAACACTTTCGGCATGGCGTAGGCGTGGCACCACTCGGCGGTCATGGGCTCCTCGTAGGCGTGGGGCAGGTTGAGCACGCCCGGGTGGTCCGGGACCTCGCGCTTGCCGCTGCCCGGGTAGACGTCGCGGCCGCACGCGTGCAGCGACAGGTACATGAACCGCGGGTCGCACGTCCGCGCGAGCACGTCCTCCGTGCCGTTGCCGTGGTGCACGTCGAAGTCGAAGACGGCGACGCGCTGGAGCCCCCGCTCGTGGGCCGCGTACTTGGCGCCGAGCGCCGCGTGGTTGAGGATGCAGTAGCCGTTCGACTCCGCGCCTAAAGCGTTCACGGACGCGCCCGCGTGGTGGCCCGGGGGCCGCACGGCGCAGAGCGCGTTCTTCGCCTCGCCGGAGACGACGGCGTCCACGGCCTGGAGGACCGCCGCCGACGCGGCCAGGGACGCGTCCCAGGTGTGGCGGTTGCCGCACGTGTCCTCGTCCTCGCCGCCAAAGAGCATCGTCGCGTTCGTCTTGAGGTCGAGGCACCGCCGCCGCACGGCCGACACGTAGACGCGCGAGTGCGCGTACGATAACAGCGCCGTGGCCCGCCCCAAATAGCCCTCGTGGACGCTCCGCTCGACCCAGAGCCTCGTCGGGTGCCGCAGCGCGGCGGCCTCGACGACGGCCGCGGCGGCGACGGCGCGCCGGCTCTGCTCCATGCAGTAGACCTTGGTCTCGTGGAGGCGGCAGCGCCGGTCGTAGATGGCCAGGGTCCGCGGCCGCCGCGCGCCGGCCCACTCGTAGGCCGGCAGGTCCGCGTCCGCGTCCTCGCGGTCCGCCTCGGGCGCCTCCGTCGCCTCTTCGTCGGAGCGGCTCCGGAGCTTCTTCCGCGCGGGCAGGCCCCGGGCCGCGGGCCGCGCGACGCCGCCGACGACGCGGCCCTGGATGACGCCCTTGGCCGCGAACCAGGACCGGCGGAGGCTCGCCAAATCGCGGCGGCCGGACCGCGCGTGCTCGAGCTGGCGGCTCGCGGACGCGACGCGCGCCTCGGCCGCGGCGACGCGGTCCCGCGTCGGCGACCCGCCGACGCCCGCGGCCTGGGCCGCGACGACCTTCGTGAGGATGAGCTCCGCGTCGTTGTGGGCCGTCGCCGCGGCCGCGCACGCGTCGCGGAGCGCCGCGTCGTCCTTGTTGACGAGCTGCTGCACGCAGCGGTCGACCTTCTCGAGCACCTCGAGCACGGCGACGCGCTCGCGCCGCGCGCGGCGCAGGTCGCGGTCGTCGGCGCCCTCGTCGCTCCGCGGGCTCGCGTCGTCGTCGCCGCTCGAGCCGCCGCCGCCGTCGTCGTCGGACGCGCCGTCGCGCTCGCGCTTCTTGCGCCTGCGCGCCACGAGGCCTAAGGCCCGGCCCCGCTTCGCGCAGGCCGCGGCCTGGGCCGCCGCCGACGACAGCGCCAGCGTCTCGAGGTCGCCGAGGAGCGCCGCGACCTCGCGCTCGGCCATGTCCTCGAGGACGTCGGTGGGCCGCGCGGACGCGCGCGCGAGCCCGGCCCGCGACCGGTCCGCGCCGCGCGCGGCGAGGTAGAGCCAGAGCTCCGGCGCCACGTGGCGCGCCGAGGACCCCGCCGCCGGGCCGCCGCGGTGCCGGTCCGCGTCGTGCTTCGCCAAGAGCGCGCGCTTCGTCTGCGACGACGCCTTGTGGCAGCGGTCGCCGCAGTCCTCGACGTCGTCGCCCGCGCCGAGGTAGACCAAAGGCCTCGACCCGTCGACGGGCGCGTCCTCGGGGGGCGCGAGGCTCGGGCAGTCGCGGCGCGACGCGCGGTCGAAGGCGGCCGCGTCGAAGAGCCGGTTGTGCGCGTCGTCGCCCAAATGGTCGCTGCCCTCGGAGAAGGGCCCGTGCGCCGGCGGCTTCGGCTGGGACGGCGCCGCGGGCTGGTCCAACGCCGCGGGCCGCACGGGCGGCGGCGGCGGCGGCGGCGGCGAGTCGCCGCGGTCGAGCGCGCGCTTCGCCAGACGCGCGTCGCGGTCCGCGCGGCCGCCGCCGTCGCCGGTCGCCGGCGGCCGCGGCGCCTCGCCGGCCGGCGTGTTGGACCGCGGCCGGCCCCGGGGCGCCGGCTCGTCCCGGGCGTCGCTGCCCAGCGCCCGCGGCGACGCCTTGGCCGACCCCCGGGGCGCCGCGGCCCGCGAGCTCCCGGGCACGCCGCGGCAGGACTTCTCGTGCGCGACGCGCGCGGGCGGGTGCGTGAAGCCCCGGCCGCAGCCCTTGCGGCAGAGGAGGGCCGAGCCGGCGGCCGCCGGCGGCGGCGTGCGCTGGCGCGGGCTCGCGAGCTTCGGCGCGGGCTCGCAGCGCGGCGGCTTCTGCACGATCTTCGGCGGCGGCGGCTCGGCGCGCGGGCTCGGCGGCTTCGGCGGCGGCGGGCTCGGCGGCTTCGGCGGCGGGCTCGGCGGCTTCGCCGGCTCGGCGCGCGGGCTCGGCGGCTTCGGCGCCTCGTCGGCGCGCGGGCTCGGCAGCCTCGGGGCTTTCGCGGCGCGCGGGCTCGGCGGCTTCCGCGACCGCGACCGCGGGCTGCCCGGCTTGCCCGCCGGGGGCCGCTCGCGCGGCGACGCGGGCGGCATCTGGCCGCTCAGACTCCGGTCCGACGCGCGGCGCTTCAGGAGCCCCGCGGACGACAGCGGCTGCACGGGCTTCATGTTCTGCACCGGCGACGGCTCGCGCTCCTTCTTGAAGTAGGGGCAGTCGGCCGTCTCGTGCGCGCCGTCGCACTTGTCGCAGCGCGGGCCGCCCGCGGCCGTCGCGGGCGGCGGCGCCTCCGCCGCCTCGTCGTCGTCGTCCTCGGCGGCCGCCTCGGCCTCCTCGGAGATGGCGTCGTCGGACGACGACGGCGACGCCGCGCGCGCGGTCTTGGGCCGCTTCGCGCTCCGCTCGTCGTCGTCGCCGTCGACGTCCATGGCCGCGGGCGCCGCCGCCGCCGCCGCCGCCTCCTCGTCGTCCTCCTCCGCGGCCGCGGGCGCCGCGTCGGCGTCGTCCATCGCCGCGTCGTCGTCCGCGGCGGGCGGCGCGTCGTCGTCGTCGCGCTCCATCGGTGCCTCGCCGCCGCTGTCCTCCTCGCCGCCGTCCTTGGACTCGGCGGCGCGCGCGACCTCCGGGTTGTCCTTTGGGCTCGCGGGCGGGCTCTCCGACGACGCCTTCGACGACCGCGCCTCCGAGTCCTCCTCGGTGACGTCGGCCGCCGGCAGCGCCTCCAGCGTCGGCGACGCGGGCCGGAAGACCGACGGCGGCAAGGCCTCCGCCTCGGCCGGTGCGCCGTCGCGCCGCACGGCGTCCCGGAACGCGCGCTCGTCGAAGTCGCCCGGGCCGGACCGCGCGCCGAGGAGCGCCGCGACGTCCGCGCGTTCCCGCGCCGTCGGCGGCTCGCGCGGCGCCTTTTGGGGCGACGCGACGCCCTTCTTCGCGGCGGACGCCGACGGGCTCGGCGACCCGCCGCCGAGCGAATTCCGCGGCGATCCGATGGACCGGACGGAGTTGGACCGCTCGCGGCCCATGTTTCCGAACTCCGCGGCGACGGGCCGCTTCTCCGGCGGGCCGTCCAGCGGCGAGATCGACGACCGGCCCAGGCCCCGGGGCCGGCCGGCGTCCAAGTCCGCGCCCACGAGGGACCGCGGCAGGTCCGCGAGCACGAGGTCGCCGGGCGTCTTCGTGACGATCTCGTACCACGGCAGCGTGAGCACGACGCTCGGGTAGTTGACGACGTCGACGTGCGCCGTGGACACGTCGCGCGGCGGGTCGCGCTTCTTGTCCCGGGGCGACGCGGACGAGTTGCCGTAGGCCTCCGCGAGGCGCGCGCGACGCCGCTCCCAGCCCTCGGCGTCGCGCGGCCCGTCGCGGGGCTCGCTCGACGCGCCGAGGTGGGACGCCGCGTAGCCCGACAGCGCGCCCGCGATGCGCAGCGCGTCGCGGAAGCGGCCCGCGGCGACGTCCGCGGCGGGCGCCGGCGTCGACGGGGGCGCCGGGTCGGAGCCCGCGAGGGGCCGGACGTGCGTCGCCTTCGCGGGCGCGGGCTCCAGCTCGAACATGCGCGCGACGCCGTCGTCGGCGAGGTGCTCGGACCACCAGGGCCGGAGGAAGACGACGGCGACGTGGTCGAACTTGGGCCGGTGCTTCGCGAGCGTCGTCGCGTAGTATTCCAGGTACTCCTCGATGGAGATCGCGCGCGCGGGCCACCACTGCGGGTGGTCCCTGCCGACGGCGCCGCGGTCCGCGCCGTAGCGGTCCACGAGGATGCGCTCCGCGACGGCGGACCGCGCCAGGAGGAGCCCGTCGCTCGGCCAGCCGTCCGTGAGGAGCGCGTTCGGGTACGTCTCGCCCGCGACGCGCCGCACGCCGCCGCCGAGCACCTAAAGATGGGCGGGGTTCGATGGGGATGGGATGCGGGGGGTCCGGGGGGCCGGGCGCCGCCGGGAGGCTGCGGGAACCGGGCCGGGCCGGGAAGGCGCGGCGACTGTTCCCCGCGGCCGCCCGACGTCGCGGCGCGCGGCGACCCGGCGTCCCGGGCCCGCGTCCGAGGCCTTCGGCGCGACCCCGCGGGCGCTTCGAACGGATCCGGGCGCCCGGCGCGCCGCGAGCCAGCTCCCCGCTCTCTCCGACTTTTTGGCGGCGAAGAACGGGAAACCCCGTCGACGTCCGGACGCGGGGAAGCGCGAGCCGTCGCAGCTCGTCCGGCGGCAGCGTCTTCTCCTGTTCGCCCTCGGGCGTGTCGCGGCTGTCGTACATGAATTTGGGGTAGAGGGACTGCGTCTGCGGCTGCGCCGGCTGCGGCGGCGCCTCGGCGTCGTCCGGGGCTTCGTCGGCTGGTTTCGCCTCGTCGCCCGCCATCACGGGACACGGGGTCGCCTTTCCAGCGTTCGCGGCGCGGCGGCGGACCGTCAGGCCAGCCGAACTGGCTGCAGGCTGTGCTCAGTGAGAGGCTCGCAGGCTTGCGGCACCTGGAGGCGACCACTGCTCGACTGTTTAGGCACTTTTGACCCCGGTTCTCGATGTTGCAAGTTCAAGTTCAGTGCCGCGCGCGGCGCGCCTCTCACGTCGTCCCGCCCGCACACCTGCGCCTCCCCCACCCCCTCAGCCGATCGGAACTCAGGCACAGTGCCACCACACCGAGGGAAAAAAAATCGAGTCGGAACGAAGGGGACAGTTAACATGGTCGCGCGCGCCGCCGGCGCGCGTTCGCGGGCCGCGGGCTCACTGCGAGCCCGCGGACGACACGAGGGACGCGGGCTGGGCCGGCGCGGGCTGGGCCGGCGCCTGGGCTTGGTGGAGACAGGTCGGGAGCAGGGAGACGAACTCCCGGAGCAGGTCGGGCTGGTCGTTGAGGAGCTCCCGCAGCTGCGTCACCGTGTCGAGCGCGTCGCCGCCCTGCGACTGGAAGGTGCGGACGACGACGGCGAAGGTGGAGAAGACGGGCGACCCCTTGGGGTAGACAGCCGTGAGCTGGGCGACGAAGCGCTTCGCCCGGCGCACGAAGGACACGGAGTCCGCGGGCAGCCCCGCGACCGAACTCGCCGGCAGGTCCAGGTCGAGCCAGCTCTCGTCGGCGTCCTTGTCGCTCCGCGACGCGCGGCTCGCCTTGTCGCTGTCCGACGACCCCGCGTGACGCTTCGCCGTCGAGCTGTCGTCGCCCCCGGGCGACGCGCGGCGCAGCCGCCGTTTCTTCGGCGGCAGGGGCTCCTCGGCCTCCTCGGGGGCGTTCGTCGGCGCCATCGCGGCCTTGGGCGGCGCCAGGGTGCGATGAAAACGAGCGACGAGAGCCGCCGCCGCGCGAAGGTCGAGGGAGCGCCCTTTCCGACGCGTTCGGGCTGCCTCAGCCTTTTTTTATCGCAAGAGCAAAGCGCGAGGCCGTGAACAGACAGGGGTAAACATGGTTTGTTGAGATGCCGCTGGCGAGCGCTCATCGAGTCGGGAGAGCGCCCGCGGCTTCGGACGCTGCCGCTCACCCATGCTGACCGTCGTCAAAAAGCTCAAACAGTCGCTCACCGACTGGGTCCCGAAGGCCTTCGGCAGCGGCGCCTCCGACGCCTACGGCGAGCCCGAGGACGAGTTCCCCTACGTGCCGCCGCGGACGAAGCGCAAGTACATGGAGGAGCGCTGGACGGCCCTGCCGCCGCGGCGGCGCGCGAAGCGCCCCGCCGCGGACGCCGCCGCGACGCCGCCGCCGCCGCCGCCGCCGCCCGCGTCGGACGCGCCCGAGGAGCGGACCATCGCGGAGCGCCGCCGGGACAACGCCGCGTCGGTGCTCGCGGCCGTCAACGAGCGCGTCGCCGCGAACAAGGTCGCGCGGCCGTCCGTGCCGTCGGCGCCGGACAAGGTCTACGGCGGCGACTGGGAGCACCTGGACCACACGGCGGACGTCCAGTTCCACGCCTGGGGCGCCGACATGGACGCCGCGCTCGCGAACCTGGGCATGTGCTTCTTCGACTACGTCACCGAGCTGGGCGCCATCGACGTCGACCCGGACTGCGCCCAGGCCTTCGAGGTCACGGGCGTCGACATGCACAAGTTCGTCTTCCGCTTCCTCGACGAGCTCCTCTACCGCTTCGCGGCCGACGGCGTCGCGTGCCGGTCCGTCGCCGTCCGACTCACCCAGCGGCCCGCCGCGGACGGCTCGGGCCACTTCGTCGCGTCCGTGACGACGGCGGGCGAGAAGTTCGACCTCGCCAAGCACCCCCAGGGCACGGAGGTCAAGGCGATCACCTACTCGGCCATGCAGATCCACGAGAACGACGACAAGGCCGAGCTCTTCGTCATCGTCGATATCTAAGTCGCGAGCCTTCGTTCCTCGCGCCGCTCGGCGCCGCGGACGGCCCGCCGCGCCCGCGCGTCCTCGCGCGATCGTCGCCACCAGAGGGCCCAGAGGAACGCAGAGTCCCGGACCCAGTCCGCGCACCGCGACCGCGCCCTGGGCGCCCGGTCGTCGTCCTCGCGCGCGACGATGCGCGAGAGCCGCGCGATGTCGCGACGAAACTCGCGCTGCTGCTCCCAGTAGGCGTCGCTGTAGTCCAGGAGGAACTCGTCGCCGGCGCGCACGGCCGCCGTCGCGACGACGCCGAGATAAAGCCAGCCGTTGCAAGCGATCTGTGCGAACGCGCAGTTCGCCGGCCGGTCCTCCCGCCGCAGCAGCCCCCCGGCCTCGACGTCGCCGCGACCCTCGGCGAAGGGGTCCGCGCGGCCGTCGTTGATGCGACCGAGCGCGTTGCCGACGTAGCCGCTGGCGTCGACGGCCAGCGCGACGATCGCGTCCTCGGTCCCCGGCGCGAAGGACGCGCGGCCGACCTCGACGCAGTAGCTGTGGAGCCGCGCCGTGCGCTCCTCGCGCGCCAGCAGCTCCCCGGCGTCCGGGCGGCGGCCGCGGCGCGGGCCGGGCACGGGCCCGGACAGGAGCAGCCCCTCGCCGCGCGTGCACACTCTTCCCCCGTAGAAGCCGAGGAACGTGGCGGCGGCGACGTCGGCGCTCGCGCGCGCGCCGCGGCCGCAGCGCGCCGTCTCGAAGGTCTCGACGGCGGCGTGCACGGGGACCGCCGGCGCCGCGAGCAGCTCGTCGAGCAGCGCCGACCAGGTGACGGTATGTCCTCGCATGTCGACGACCGTCGCGAGATCGCTGTCGACGCGCGTGCCGCCGAAGACGCCGTTCGTTTGCCAGCGGCGGCGCACGGATTGCAATATGGGGCTGACGAGCTGGCAGCGGTCCATCGTTTAGAGCTGAAATGCTGCCCACGTCATGTAGCCCATGATGCAAGAATCGTCCAGGACAGACCGGTCCATCATTGATAGCTCAGCAAAATCTCGGCATGTAGCCCATCATATTGCATGTCAGGCCCAAGGTGCCGTCATCAATTTATTTTCTAGCAGTTTGAGAACGTTTGGTGGAGGGCAGCACCATGGGGCTGAAGCTAGAACGCAGATGATTGACGAGGCCAAGGGCATGGACGGCGACGACTCGCACGACGACGAGCCCGGGGTCGTCGTCCCCGAAGGCGTCGAGCTCGTCCCCCCGACGACGCCCCCGGCCCAGATCAGCGGCAGCAGCGGCACCCCGCGGAAGACCTGGCGGAGCTCGCGGTCCCCCTCGGTCCACCTGAAGCGCATGGCCACGAACGTGTCCAAGACCATCAACTCGACGCAGACCGTGGCCCAGGCCATGAGCGCCCAGGCGTCCCTGCGCGTCGCGCACGTGCAGCGCGGCGTCGGCCTGAACTGGGGCCGCTACAACGACACGGCCTGGTTCGTCATCGACCCCGAGGCGCGGTGGCGCGCGGTCTGGGACGGCGGCACGGCCATCCTGCTCCTCTACCTCGTCTTCGCCGTGCCCTACAGCATCGCGTTCCTCGACGGCGGCCTCGGCTGGTTCGAGTGGTTCGTGCTCGCGTGGTTCTCCCTCGACATCCTCATCAGCTTCGTGACGCCCTACGAGAAGGCGGGGCTCTACGTGACGAACCCGCGCTGGATCGCCTTCGAGTACTGCCGGACCTACTTCGCCATCGACTTTTTGTCGACGTTCCCCTTCGACGTCGTCGTCAACTCGACGGACAGCAACATGGCCGTCACGGGCAAGGCGCTGAAGCTGCCGCGCCTCGCCAAGACGCTGCGGGCGCTGAAGATGAGCAAGCTCATGAAGTTCTACCAGGTCGACGAGCTCCTGGGCCAGGTGCAGATCAACTTCCACATCTCGCCCGCGTTCATCAACCTCCTCGCGCTCGTCTTCGCGGCGCTCGTCATCAACCACTTCTTCGCCTGCGTCTGGTACATGATCGGCCTCCGGAAGTTCGACGACGACTGCGCCGACGGCGACGGGAACCGGGGGCGGCGCCACTGCACGTGGATGCAGACGGGCGGCTACAGCCCGCGCGACGGCAACTGGTACCTCTACACGACGTGCCTCTACTGGTCCCTCTCCACCGTGTCCACGGTGGGCTACGGCGACATCTCCGCGAACACGACGATGGAGAAGGTCTACACGATCGTCGTCATGATCACGGGCGTCGCGGGCTACGCGATGATGCTCCAGTCCATCGGCCGCCTCATGCAGTCCCACTCGTCGACGGCGACGACGTCGACGATCGCGCTGCGGGACTACTTGTACAAGCGCAACGTGCCCATGGACCTCTGCACGAAGATCTTCGACTACCTCTACCGCCACAACGCGATCCGCGCGTACAACAACGACAACAGCCAGGAGGTCGTCGCGTCGATCAACGACCTGCCCAAGCCCATCCGGCGGCGCCTGCGGCTCTACACGGAGCGGGCGACCATCGGCGCCATCCCCTGGTTCCAGCACCGGTCGTCGGACTTCGCGGCGGACGCGGTCGGCTTCCTGAAGCCGACGCTGTCCGCGCGGGGCGAGGTCGTCGGCGCCCAGGGCATCCGCGCCGAGGCGCTGTTCTTCGTCCAGTCCGGCGACCTCGCCGTCTACCCCGAGGGCACGAAGCGCCACCGCGTGTCGACGATCGGCGGAGCGCTCGACGAGCTCGAGGAGGAGGAGGCCGAGGGCATCCGCCCGCTTCTACGGTTCGGGCCGGGCGACAACTTCGGCGCGCCGGGCTGCTTCGTCGACGCCGTCTGGAAGCTCGAGATCATCGCGTGCAGCGACTGCGAGATCTCCGTCTTCCCGCGCGAGCACCTCCGGAGGCTGCTCGACGAGCCCGAGCACGCCCACCTCCTGCCCCAGTTCGAGTACGAGGCGCACCAGACCGTCCAGGCGGCGCCCTTCCTGTACGCGTTCCAGGACCCGGCGCACCAGCACGGCGTCGCGCGGCACGCGGGCGACTTCCGGAGCCCCCTCGGCGCCGCCCGCCGCGACGACGGCGCCGCGGGCCGGGACAACAGGGCCGCCAAGACGGCGCTCGACGTCGCCCGGTCCGACTCGGCCGTCGCCGTCGCGAACTTCCTGCGGGAGCACGTGCCCGCGGCCGCGCTCGCGTCCGGCGCGCCCGGCGCGGACGTCGTCAACGGCCTCATCGCCCTCGGCGACTACCACGAGCACCACTGGACCGTGTCCGGGACGAACCCGGGCCGCAACGCCGTCCGCGCGCAGTCCGCGATGGTCGCGACGACCGCGGACGCGAAAGTGGACGCGACGCCGCCGCCCTTCTGCGGCGTCGGGTGCGGCGGCGCGCCCTTCGGCGACGACGGCGACGGCGGCTACATGTGACCTCGCTCGCCGACCACCTCGATTCGTGACCACCTCGATTCCACCTCGCAACTCTCCTAAGTAAGCTCCTCGCTTACGTATACGGTAAGCAAACGTGAAGGAACCACCAAGTGAACCACCTGGATGCATATCTGCAAGCAGCCGAATGTTTTGGGATCCGACAAAATTCGACTGGGGCGATTGGGACGCAGCCCCGCGCGACGCAGCCCCGCGCGGCGGTGACACCACCACCATGGGGCAGTCGGCGTCCATGGCCGACTACCCCCTCTTCACCCCGCCGAAGCCGGAGCCGGCCAAGTCGAGCGAGAAGCCCATGAAGCTCCCGGCGAAGCAGCGGCCGCGCACGAAGAGCAAGCTCAAGCAGCGGCGCAAGCAGGCGCGCCACTTCGTCAAGGTGACCATGCGCAACGGCCTCACGAAGGTCCTGAAGAGCGCGACGAAGACGCTGCGCCTGGGCTGGTACGTGCGCAACTCGCGCCGGTCGAAGCACCGCTGGGAGCGGCCCTTCTACTTCGACGTCCGCGAGGCCGCGGCGAACGCCGCGGGCTTCAAGGAGCGCGTCGTCGGCCCGAGCTTCGTCCGCGGCGGCCAGGCCTTCTGCCTCGAGCTCTACCCCGGCGGCTTCCGCGAGGACTCGCGGCAGCACGTCGGCGCCTACCTGCGCTACCAGGGCGCGCAGAAGTGCGTCGAGCTCCGGTTCCGCGTGTCCGTCGTGAACCGCCTCGGCGGGCCGGAGATCGCCTGGCGGAGCGCCTTCATGCTCCTCGGGGCGCGGGCGGCGCCGGGGGAGAAGATCTTCACGAACTGGGGCACCGCGTCGCTCTGCCCCCGGTCGTGGCTCAGCGACCTCAAGCACCGGGGGCTCTGCGTCGACGGCGCCGTGCGCTTCCGCGTGGACATCATGTACGTCGGCGAGCGCGAGTCCGTGGACAACCAGATCGTGCGCATGGCCTCCGCGGACGCAGAGGGCTTCGGCGAGGCCGGCGGCGCGGGCGACGCGGCCTGCCTCGGGTCCGGCGTCCACCGGCGGGACTACGACGCGGCCCTCGAGCTCAAGTCGCCGCGCAACCCGCTCGCCCTCCGCGAGGAGACCAAGGAGCCGCCCGTGGACGTCGACGAGAGCCGCGTCACCTACAAGTTCGACGACCAGGGCGACGAGCCCCTCCTCGTCGACTTCGAGTTTTCTTAACACCGTCGTTCGCCATATGGTTTTTAACTAGAGTGCGACGTCGACGGCGTCGCCGGCGGCGTCGCCGGCGGCGCCGTCGCGCGGCGCGCCGGCCTCGCGCTCGACGTCCGCGACGTCGAGGAGGGGCGGCGGCTCGTCGGACGGCGCGCGACTGCGGTCCGGGCCCGGCGACTCCTGGGACATGCGGCGGACGAGCTTCAGGTCCGGCGTGTCGGCGCGGGAGACCGCGTCGCTCAGCGTCGCGCGCCGCTGCGCGTTCGACGTCACGAGGATGTGGAGCAGCTGCGTCTTCGCCCCCCGCTTGGTCTCGCGCGCGTCGTCGAGATCCGCGAGGGCCAGGGCCTGGGCCCGCGCGGCGTCGAGCAGATCCGCGCGAGCGACGCGCAGCGACCGCTCCGCGAGCTCCGCGCGCTTCTGCGCGCCGCGGACCTCCGCGGACGCGCGGCCCCGGGCCCGCGCCTGGGACCGGCAGGCCTGGAGCGGCACGAAGCCCCCGCGCCGGCCGGGCAGCGACCGGTCCCGCGACAGCGCGCTGGGGAAGAGGGACGCGAACCAGCCCAAATTCGTCCGGGGCTCGGGCGCGGACGCGGCGCGGCCGTTCAGCCGCCCGGGCGGCGCGAGCGCGGCCCGCGTCGGCCCGAACCGCGCGGCGGCGAGCAGCGAGTTGCCCGGCGGCGCCAGCGTCACGGCCGGCCGCGCGTCGCCGGAGGCGACGTCGTCGTCGTCGTCGAACGCGCGATCCTCCGCGGATTCGAGGCGCCGCGCGGCGACCGCGGAGCAGCGCCGCTTCTCGTCCACGAGGGCCCCGACGACGGCGCGCTGCTTCTCCAGCAACGACGTCGCCGCGGACACGCGGTCCAGCGTCTCCGCGGTGTCGCGCTCCGCGCGCTCGATGCGCGCCATGAGGCACGTCGCGTCCGTCCGCGCGATGTCGTCCAAAATCTCGAGCCGCGCGGCGAGCTCGGCGGCCGGCGCGTCGGCGAGGACGGCGTCGCCGTCGCCGCCGTAGCGCTCGAGCCAGGACTCGCCCGGCGGCCGGTCCGACTCGCCGCGCGAGAGCACGCACCGCTCCTCCAGCAGCGCGAAGCCGAACTGCTCCGCGAGGCCTCCCAACGTCTTCCGCGACACCTTGAACTCGCCGCAGGACGCCGCCACGAGACCCTCCACGCTCCCAAAGGTCGCCAGCACCTTCGACGCCAGGCCGTCGCGGTCCCGCAGGTACTTGCCCGCGGCGTCGAGGCTCATCCGACACAGCTCGTCGACCGCGGCCGACAGCAGCGCGAGCGACAGCCGGTAGACGGCCTTCCAGCCGTCGTGGAAGCAGGCGTCCCAGAGCCGCGGCAGCCAGGCGACGGGCGCGACGTACGCGAAGATTGTGAAGAACCACTGCGACGCCAGCACGTCCGGCGCGAGGCCGATGTCGCGAAAGTGCGCGCGCAGCCGCGGCAGGTGCGCCGACACGAGCCGGTCGAACTGGAAGACGCGCAGCTTCAGCTGGGGCATGCCCGGCCGCCAGAGCTCGCTGAGCTCGAGGCGGTTGTCGCGCGCCTTCCGCCGCCTCCGGCCGAGCTCGGCCGGGTGCGCGCCGTCGGCGAGCGCCGCCACGAGCCAGAACGTCCGCCGCTGGGCCCGCCGCTTCAGGACGCCGTTCGTCGGCTCCAGCGGCACGTCGTCGAGCGTGCCGCCGCGCACGTGCACCTCCAGCAAGGCGCCGGCGACGAGGTTCATGCCCTGGCAATAGGAAGTTTCGGCGTTCGCGTTCGCGAGCGCGACGAGCACGTCCGCCAGCAGATCCTGGCCGCCGCCGGCGACGTCGGGCGCGAAGAACGACCGCGACGCGAACGTGCGCCGGACGTCGCGCTTGATCTCGCCCTCGACGCCCTTGTCGCCGAGGCGCGCGAGCCCGCCGCGGCCCCGGTCGAGGCCCGCGCAGCGCTCGAAGTAGCCGCCGACGCCGGTCCCGTCGAGCCGCGCCAGGCGCCGCCGCCGGTTGCCCTCGACCTGGACGGCGTGCGCCCAGAACCGTTCGCGCGACGCGGCGCGCACGCGGCAGCGCGCCGCGCCGCCGATCGACTCGTACTGGTAGGAGCAGCCCCGCGACGCCGCGCGCACGTTACAAATCTCCTCGAGGTAGAGGTGCGACGTGATGATGCGCGCAGTGATGCCCGGCACCTCCAGCGGATGCCGCGGCTGGACGGCCTCGCCGCTCGGTGCCATCGTCTTCCGACGCCGCCGCTGGCGGAGCGCGCACGAATCGCACGATGGCTACGATGGCTGTGACGAGCCCATGCAATGTGCCAGGCTGTGGCGACTAGGAAGTAGCCCAATGCGCCGCGCGCAGACGGCGCTCCTGCTCCTGGGCGCACAACATCGGTGCTACGCGACGACGACGCGCCGCCGGGCGCAGCTCCGGAGCCTCGGCCGGCGCGCGTCCCTCGAGATCTCGCCGCACCAAGTCGAGCAACTCGTCGGCGCGCGCGACCACCTCGCCATCCCGAAGACGATCTTCGTGAACATGGTGCGGGCGGACGCGGCCCACTTCGAGGCCGTCGCCGCGGCCTGCGAGGCGCTGCGCGCCGCGGGCCTCGAGGCCGTGCCGCACGTTCCGGCGTCGCGCTTCGACGACGACGCGCACGCCGGCCGCGTGCTCGACGAGCTGTCCGCCGCGGGCGCCACGTCGGCGCTCGTCGTCGCCGGCAACGACTTCGACGGCTCGGCGCCGGACGTCGACGCCGTCGCGGCGCTCGCGCGAAAGCGAGGATTCCGGTGCCTCTTCGCGGGCTTCCCCGAGGGCCACCCGCACGAGTCGTCCGGCGGCGCGCGCCTCGCCGCCAAGCTGGCGCCGGCGGGCGCCGGCGTCGTCACCCAGTTCGTCCGGGACCCGGCGGTCCTGGGCGAGTGGCTCGACGGCGCGCGGCCGGCGGCGGAGACGGTCTTCGTCGGCGTGCCCGGCCCCGCGACGCGGCGCCGGCTCGCGCAGATGGCGGCGCTGTGCGGCGTCGGGCCGTCGGTGTATGTCGATGCCTACGACGTCGACGACGACGACGACGACGGCGACGACGCGTTGCTCGCGCCCGCCGCGGACGTGGGCGCGCTCGCGGACTACCTCGGCTCGAGCGAGGGCAACGTGCGGCTGCACGTGTACCCGTTCGGCGGGCTGGACGCGGCGCTCGTCTTCCTGGATGCCCTGGCGTCCAAGGGCATCCTCTGGGAGCCGGGCGGCTTCGGCGCGGGGGGCTAAGCGTGATTAGGAGTCGCGGTCGCCGCGCCAGAACGCGATCGTGTGCGTGAAGATGTCGTCGGGGGCCTGGACGAAGAGGCGCTCGTGCAAAGGGTAGGTCGACGACGGCGGCGCGCGGCCGCCCTTGCGGAGCGACGAAAGCTCTCGGCGGAGCGCGTGGAGCTCGAGGCGCGGCGCGTCGACGTAACTCCGCCAGCTGCCCGCCTCGCGGACGGCGACGAGGAGGTTGAGCGTCTTCGTGTACCCATATCTCCGCGCGTAGGTCTCGGGGACCTCGCCCACGGGATCGCGAACGTCCCACGACGACGCGCCGCGACTGAGCAAAAGCCGGACCAGTTCGTAGTTTCCGTGGAGCGTCGCGGTGTGGAGCGCGGTGCGCCCTCGAGGGCTATCGTCGATGCGAACGCCGGCATCGAGCAGGACGACAGCGGCGTCGCGGTGGTTGTTGACGACCGCCGCGCTCAGCGGGAAATGGTCGAGGTGGCCGCACGCGTGGAGATCCGCGCCGTGGTCGATGAGCCACTTCATGGCCGCGCACCACCCTTCGCACGCTGCGAACCACAACATCGTATTCGGCTGCGGACCGAGTGGCTCGGGGGGCTCGATCCGCAAAGTGCCTCCTTCCGTGTTTATCCACACCATCGCATCGAGATGACCGCCTGAGGCGTGATATTCTCGCGCGCGATCGAGAAGGGCGCGTTCGTTGAACGCTCTCCGCCGAGGGTTGTCGGAAGTTCCTGCTCCTTCTGCTTCGGCCGCAGACATACTCGACCGCCGAGAGAGGACAAAGAGCTACCGAAAAGGAGCAGCCATAGGGCTGCTCCTTAGGGGAAAGATTAACGAAACGCGTTTTTGAAGAGATGTTGCAGCACAGGCTAATCGAGGGCATGGGCTCGTAAGGCTGGAGCCGCTCGTGCGAATAGATATCGTCCACTGGCGCCTCCCGCGCCTGTGAGACCCCTCTGAGCCTCCCGTCCCCCGCGGTTCCTCCCGCCCCCCCTACGTTTATCGCCCAGCTACGCTCCCTTCCCACCGCCATGGAGCGCGTGGACATCGTCTTCCGGGCCCAGAAGCTCGGCATCGACGTCACCTACGACAACGGCCGCCAGGCGGTCGTCGTCGAGCATTTCGAAAAGGGCGGCGCGACGCTCGACAGCGCGACGCTCGTCGCCGTCAACGGCGACGCCGTGGGCCCCCTGGCGACCCGCGACGCGTTCCTCGCCCTCGCCCAGCGGCTCCAGTCCGAGCCGCGGCCCATGACGCTCGGCTTCTCGCAGCCGCGGCGCGTCGGAGCTACCGAAAAGGAGCAGCCATAGGGCTGCTCCCTAGGGGAAAGATATCAACGAAACGCGTTGTTGAACCGCATTAATGCTTATGAGGGCTGCCCTGCTCGCGCTCTGCGCCCTTACCACGGCGCAGCCGCAGGTCGGCATCGTCAAGAGCACCTGGGCAGCGTCGCAGCCGCGGGTCGGCATCTTCAAGAGCACCTGGGCGGCGTCGCGGCCGCTCGTGAAGACGCTGCCCGGGCTCCTCGAGTACCTGCCCTGCTACGAGTTCTGCGAATAGGTCGGCGCTTAAAACTTGAGGAGGGAATCGGGGGTTCCGGCGGGCGGCGATGCTCGTTCGGCGCCCGGCGGGGTACATAGGGAGATACGTGCGAGGTCGATCACAGGTGCTGCGGGCGGCCGACGGACGCGAAGAACTCCGCGCGCGTCCGGGGGTCGGACTTGAAGCTGCCGAGGAGCGCGGACGTCACGGTCGACGAGCCCGTGGCCTGGACGCCGCGCATGCACATGCACATGTGCGTCGCCTCGACGACGACGCCGACGCCGCAGGGCCCGCAGGCCTCGGCGACGGCCTCGGCGATCTGCGTCGTGAGCCGCTCCTGCACCTGCAGGCGCTTCGCGAACATGTGGGCGATGCGCGCGAGCTTGGACAGGCCCAGGACCTTGCCGTTGGGGATGTAGGCGATGTGGCACTTGCCGAAGAAGGGCACGACGTGGTGCTCGCAGAGCGAGTAGAGCTGGATGTCCTTGACGAGGACCATCTGGCTGTAGTCCTCGGCGAAGACCGCGCCGTTGAGCACGTCCTCGAGGCGCTTCGCGTAGCCCGACGTGCAGTCCACCAACAGCTTGGCCATGCGCCGCGGCGTGTCCTGGAGGCCCTCGCGGCCCGTGTCCTCGCCGAGCGCGTCGAGGATCGTCGAGACCGCGCCGGCGATCTTGCAGACGCGCGCCTCGTCGTCGCCGAGCCGCCGCTTCAAAGCGCAGGCGCACTCCGTCGTCTTCTTCTGCTCCAGGGGAAGCGGCGGCGCGCTCAGCGACGACGCGCGGTCCCGCGCGGGCTTGGGCAGGGGCAGCGCGGGCGCCTTGGCGTCGCCGCCGTCGTTCTTGCTGATCGTCGCCTTGAGCTTCTTCGCCGGCCGCGACGAGTCCGTGGCGACGCTCGTCTGCGACTGCGACATCGCTGCGCGATGACCGCCGAGGACGCGGCCGTCGCCTTCAGTTGCCGGCGTCGACACCTCTGATGCAGTCGCCTCGACGAGAGCTTGTACGTCGAGTTGCACATCTCGGCGCTTGACGGCTCGGTGCAGTCGATGCTGCCGTCTCGAGGCTGCCCCTGGTTTGAGAGTCCGCTAGCAGGCCAGCCTTGAAACCAGAGCAGCCCGCCTTGTTCGCCCCAAACACCCGGAATATATCCGGGCGCGAGACCCCGCCCCAAGCACAAAAGGCGGCCCCGCGGCGACGTGAGCAAGCGCGATGCCCGTGCGCCACTGCTTCGCGGGCGAGGACGACGACGGGCCCGAGCCCCCGGGCATGGAGTTCTTCGTCTGCGGCGGCGTCCACTTCCTGGGCTGCTCCGACGAGAGCTCCATCCTCCTCTGCACCGACGAGCAGGACCACGGCCGCCAGGAGGGGCACGGCGCCTTCGGCCGCCGCGAGCCGTCGCCCGGCGCGCGCGAGCCGCACTCGCCGACGGGCGTCGAGATCTCGGGCGACGCCGCGGAGCTCCGGGTCCACGCGCACGCCGTGCCCGTGAGCTCCTTCACGGGCGAGCCCGTGGACCTGACGGGCGCGCCGGACCCCGTCATCGACGCCATGCGGCCCAGCGACGCGACCGCGCAGCTCATCCGCGAGTTCGAGCTCGGCAGCGCGCGCGCGTCCGCGCAGTGGGGGCCGGACCCGGAGAGCGACGCGGACCGGCGCGAGCGCTACGACTCCATGCTCCAGCGGACCTTCGTGACGAACGCGCCCTGGCAGGCGCTCTACGACCTCATGCCGCTCCGGCCCGACGAGCGCGACCTCTTCGAGAAGCACCTGGACCGCGAGATCGTCTGGGCCCGCATGAAGGACACGGAGCGCAACGCGACGCTGCTCTGGCGGGCGGCGCAGCTCGGCGACGCCGTCGCCGTGTCCATCATGATCCGCAAGCGCCTCGGCGACCTCGCCGGCGAGCGCGACTCGGGCGGGCTCAACGCGATGGAGGTCGCCAAGCTCGAGGGCCACCACGAGTGCGCGCGCCTCCTCGAGCCCTTCGTGCGGGACGAGTGCGTCACGCCGAACACGCCCGCGGCGCGCAAGTTCCAGCGCGGGAGCTCGAAGAGCCGCCTCTTCAACGGCTTCCGCATGCCGCGCCTCCTCTCCTTCCGCGGCAAGCCCAAGCCGTCGCCGAAGCCGTCGCCGCCCCAGCGGTCCCGCTCGAGTACGCAGTGAGCCCCCATCGTTCGTCATCCTTAGTCAACTTTAACTGCACAGTGAAACATTGAAGGGGCTGCCTCCTCTCCTGCTTGAAGCATTTTTGCGCGGCGTTCGCGGTCGGAACGAGTGCGTGCACATGGACGTGTCGCAGCTCCGGCGGGCCTGGCCGCGCGTCTTCGCGCGGGCGCGCGGCGGGTCCCTCGACGAGTCGCTGGCGGCGGCCCAGGGCCTCGCCACGGTCTCCGGCCGGGTGGTCCAGGAGCTCCTCATCCACAAGGGGGTGCCCATCGCCGAGCACGCCGTCGAGGCGACGGCGGAGAAGGTGTTGGAGCGCGCCGCGGAGCACGCGGCGGAGCGCGCCGCGGAGCGCTTCGCGGAGCGCGCCGTGGAAGCGACCGCGGAGCGCGCGTTGGAACGGGCCGCCGAGTGCGCTTTGGAGCACGCGGCGGAGCGCGCGGTGGAAGTCACGGCGGAGCGGGCGTTGGAACGCGCGGCGGAGTGCGCTTTGGAGCACGCGGCGGAGCGCGTCGTGGAAGCGACGACCCCGAAGGCGCTGAAACGCGCGGCCGAGTGCGCTCTGGAGCACGCGGCGGAGCGCGCGGTGGAAGCGACGGCGGAGCGGGCGTTGGAGCACGCGGCGGAGTGCGCGCTCGAGCACGCCGCGGAGCGCGCCGTGGAGACGGCCGCCGAGCGGGCGCTGGAGCACGCCGCGGAGCGCGCCGTCGAGGCGTCCGCGGAGCACCTCGGCGAGAAGGTCGGCGAGGTGCTGCTCGAGCGCGGCGCCCACATCGCGTCGGAGAAGATGGGCGAGCGCATGGTCGAGCGCGGCGCCGAGTCCGTCGGCGAGCGGCTGCTCGAGGAGTCCGCGCGCGGCGCGCTGCAAAACGCGACGGCGGCCGCGGCGGCGCCGCCGGTCTGGGCGGCCCGCACGTCGTCGCTCCTCGGCGCCCTGCGCGTCGTCGTGCCCGCCGTGGGCACGCTGCTCGTGCTGCACATGGCCCACGCGGACTGGCACCGCGCGGTCCACGAGTGGCGCCGCCGCAAGGTCCCGAGCTGCTGCTTCGCCCTCGCGGCCGCCTGCGACCTGCTGGACGTGGTCGTCCACGTCGTCGTGCTGGCGAGCCTGCTCGCCGTGGTCCACGTCGACCACGACGTCGTCCACGACGCGGAGCGCGTCGGCCTGTGCGCCGCGGGCTGCGCCGTCCTCTCGATGGTCTGCGGCGAGGCCCTCTGCATACGCGACGCCAAGCGGGCGAAGGCGAAGGTCGACTAGCGGGGCGCGGGGGATAACGACTCGACGGAGGTGGGCGGCCGCGCGCCTGCAGGCGTCGAGCGCTGGAAGGCCTGCTGGAACGGACGTGGCCCTCTGCATACGCGACGCCAAGCGGGCGAAGGCGAAGGTCGACTAGCGGGGAGCGGGGGATAACGACTTGTCGGTGGAGGTGGGCGGCCGCGCGCCTGCAGGCGTCGAGCGCCGGCTTGTGTGCTTCAATGTAAACTTGGGGCCCTTAAGCGCGCGAGACTTCAAACCCTGTGCATCTGAAGAACGTCCAAGCGTGTCGCGGCGGGAGGGGGTCTGGGCTAGCGGACGGGGAGGGCGCGCGTCCGACACAGAACCCCCATGACAACCCCGCCGCGCCCGCACCGCGCATCCCGCGACTGCCATTCACACGCCCGGTCCCCGCTATCCGCGGCGCCGGGCGCCGGCGCGTGAAGGGCAGCACCCCATCAGAGCGAGCGGCCCCCCCAATCCCGCCGCCCCGCCGCTCCCCCCGCCGGCGACCCGACGCGCCGCCCACCGTCCGCTTCCCCTTCTTCGAGCCCGGGTCGCTTGCGACCAGCCCCCCCCCCCCAAACAAAATTTTTTTTTCCCGGAACGACCAAGTTCGACTCGCGCGTCCGCGCGCGATCGACTTTTCAAAACAACAATGTGAGCTGCACGGAACTAGATCCGACAATAGCCTGAACTGGGTCGACCTATGTGTTCTACCGACCGAAAAGAACCAGCTGGCGAACGGTCCCTTGCCAAGGGCGTGCAGCGCGGATCCAGCGTCCCCAGCGAAACCGAAACAACACTCACTGCACCCCTGTAGGTCGAAGCGTATACACCTGCCGCAGGGCTCAACAGACCTTTACCCAACGCGCGCAGGATGGCAGCCTCTCTGGTGGCACCAGAACCCGTCTAGGGGGGGCACGAAATAGTACGAAGCCGCGTCGTCCGATAATAATAATAATCGCCGAGCCGGCAGTGCCGTCTAGACGCGTCCACGAGGATTGAGTGGCTCGCCGGGGGTCTCGAGGCAACGAAGCTGCGTCGCCGTGTCCAGTCGACCGCCGAAGTCGTCTTATCGCACAGCTCGCTGCGCCGCGTGGCTCGCCGTTCCCGCCGCCGCAGCTTCACGAGGACTCCAGGATGGCGTCGCAGGTCAAGCGCGTCGCGAACCAAGAGGTCCAGATCGCCGAGGAGTCGGACAGCGACGAGGAGGAGCCGACCATCGAGGTCGTCGAGGACGGCTCCAAGGGCGGCGGGTCCCTGAAGCCCCGGAAGCGGCGCCGGCTCAAGTGCTACCTCGTCTTCCACGGCGACCGCGCGTCGCGGCGCCTGCCGCACTGCGTCCGCGTCAAGTGCCCGCGCGACGGGTCGTGGGACAACGGGCCGAACGGGCCGCGGCTGCTCAAGGAGACCTTCGTGAAGCGCTACGCCGAGGTGCACCCGCGCGTGCCCCTCGAGGCGTCGTCGACCTACCTGGTGGACGAGTTCGGCACGCCCGTCGCCGACGACGACAAGCTCGCGCTCTACGTCCAGTCCGAGGGCGTGCTCCACGTGATGATCGGGTCGCCCGCGCAGAAGGGCCCGGGGAACCGCGTCATCCAGTGGGGCTACAACTCGCTCCAGTCCAAGGAGGTCATCGAGCCCGGGCCCCTCTACTCCGTCGCGCGCGCGCGCGTCGTGTCGCTCGACTGCGGCTGGCTCCACGCCGCGGCGGTCCTCGAGTGCGGGCAGGCGCTGGCCTGGGGCTCGAACGAGTTCGGCCAGCTGGGCACGGGCGACGAACTCAAGTCCGCGGAGCCCGTGGCCTGCAAGGTCGACCGGGATATTCGCCTGAAGACCGTCGTCTGCGGGTCCTACTACACGATGGCGCTCGACGACAAGGGCGAGCTCTGGAGCTGGGGCCGCTACCAGGCGTCGAACTGGCCGTCCAAGTTCGCCGACACCTGGGTGAACGGCTACGCGAAGCGCGGCGAGCTGGGCATCAAGGGCGAGACGATCGCGCTGCTCGCCGGAGGCGAGTCGCACATGCTCGCGGCGATGGAGAGCGGCAAGCTCTTCTCCTGGGGCTACAACGAGCAGCTCCAGCTCGGCATCGGCGACGAGAAGGACGGGGGCCAGATGAAGCCCCGGGAGGTGAAGTTCAAGGAGCTCACGAAGGAGAACCCCGTCGCGGCGCTCGCGTGCGGCGGGCTGCACACGATCGTCGCGCTCAAGGACGGCAAGATGTTCGGCTGGGGCAACAACAGCGAGGGCCAGATCGGCCACATCCTCCGGAAAAACTTTGGCGAGCCCCAGGAGGTGTCGTCCATGGAGCACGAGCCCGCCGTCGACGTGTCGTGCGGCCGCTACTCGACGCTCGCGACGTCGGACACCAAGTGCGCGTACTTCTGGGGCTCCCTCACGGGGTCGGCGAACCAGGGCGCGCCGTCGACGGGGCCCGACGGCGAGGAGAAGAAGCCCGACGAGGGCGAGGCGCCCGACTTTGGGGGCGAGTCCAAGTCGAAGTACGGCGGCGGCGCCGCGTCGCGCATGCTCGCGGGCGCCGCGAAGCAGCTCGTCGGCACGGACGTCGTCCTCGGCGCCATCGGCGAGGCCCACGGCATCCTCCACTTCAAGAACGGCTGCCTCGACGGCTGGGGCTACAACGCGTACGGCCAGGCGCTCGGCCGCGTCGACAAGCGCACGGACCTCATCGAGGAGCCCAAGAACTGCGACCTCGGCGACGTCTACAAGCCCTCGTCGTCCGTCAAGGTCCTCGGCATCTGCACCGCCGGCGGCACGACGACGCTCCTCGTCAGCGGCGAGGAGCAGGACTAGCGCGCCCGCCGCGTCTCCGGCGCGCGGCCCGTCGTTCGACCGACGCGGCCCCCCCGACGCCCACGACGGGGCTTCCCGTTTTCTTCCCGCCTAATATGGAGCCCGCCTCGTCCCGCCGTCGCACGGTTTCCGCGCCAAAAGTCCGAATAACACTTCACGCTCCTTCTATTCTCGTACGCTGTTGCCCACGAGTCAAGTCAGAAGATGAAGCTGCTCGCCGTCCTCCCCGTCGTCGCCGCGTACCAGTTGACGCAGCAGGAGCTGTCCTATGCCGCGACTCACCGCGACCTGCTGCCCAAGGAGCTGCAAGAGGGTGAGCTGACCCTGGCGCGCCTGCAGCCCTACGTCAAGCCGACGGTCACGGTCACGCGCGCCGACGCGGAGGTGAAGGTGCGCAACGCCAGCGGGGTGGACCCGGCCGTCATCGAGCAGATCGGCAAGGAGGTCTGGACGCTCGTCCGCGCCGAAGCGTCCGCGCCGCGGATTTCCGTCACGCCGCATCTCCGCAGGTCGAGGAGAACCAGGCGACGGTGAACTACACGACGGACTACGCCGGGGCCTGCCGGAGGGCGTTTCCGACTGGACGCTCATGGAGGGCTGGCAGGACACGGAGACGGAGGAGTACAAGTCAGCGTCCTGCTGCCGTGACGATTTTCGAGATTGACGCACATGGTAGGTACAAGTTCACCTTCGAGAACGGGTTCACGCTGACGGAATTCAAGTGGGTCTTCACTTGGAAATATGGCGCAACCTACAACGGCACGGGCAAGTACGTCACCGAGGCCGGCGCCACGGTCAAGGAGGTCTACGCCTACCTCAGCGAGCACATCGACGTCACGGCCAAGGCTTCCAAACCCATCAACTACGGCACGACGGAGTCGTGCGCGTCCGGCGTCCGCGCTCTCGCGGCGCGCGTCGTCCGATACCCCGGCGCCCCTACGCAGGCCGCTCGGCGGCATCGACGTCGACGTCGAGGCGACGAGCCACGGCATGTTCGAGAGCACGACCGTCGGCTGCCACATCACGCTCCACGGCGACGGCACGTCGCGCATCGCCACGTGCGACCAGAACTAGAGCCCCACTCTAGCACAGCTGACATCTTAAATATCCCGCGCGCAGAAGACGAGCGCGTCCGTCCTGCCGGGCCACGTCGGGCCGGCGTCCCAGGTACCCATCCCGTCGTAGGCGACGGCGAAGCCCGCGGCCTCGAGCCGGCGCACGGCGACGAGGAACGGCGCGAGGGCCGGATTCTTCGTGAAGGACCACTCGAAGACGAGCCGCTCGACGCCGCGCCACTCGCGGTCCGCGGCTAGAATCGCCATCTCCGCGCCTTCCACGTCCAATTTCACAAAGTCGACGCCGTCGAGCGCCTCGTCGAAGGACACGGCGTCGACGCCGACCCGCTCCGTCGCGTCGACGTAGTGCGAGAGGCCGTCGAGCGCGTGGCGCCACGTGTTCCGCTCGCCGCGCTGGTCCGCCCCCAGCACGAGCGTCGCGCGGCCCGAGGCGCCGTCCACGAGCGCCGCCTCGACCAGCTCCGCGCCGGGGTTGTTCTCGCGGAACAACGCCGCGTTCGACGGCTCGGGCTCGAAGGCGACGACGCGCTTCGCGCCTTCGTCGAGCGCGTAGCGAGAAAACGCGCCGACGTGGGCGCCGCCGTCGAGGACGGTCCGCCCCGCGGGCGAGAAGTCGAAGTCGAGCGACGGCGGCGGCGTCGCGTAGCAGCCGTCGCCGAGGACCTCGACGATCGCGAGCGCGTCGCTCGAGCCCGGCCGGTACGCGAAGGAGGCCCGGCCGGCGAGGACCGCCGCCGCGGCGTCGTCGGCGGAGCGCCGCGCCCGCGGCGCCGCGGGCGTGAAGAACACGAGGCTATACCGCTCCCCCTTGAAGGGCAGCGTCCAGTGGCGCTCGCGCCAGCCGTCGAACTCCAACGGAGCGTACCGCACGTCCGACACGCGCCGCTCCACGGCTAATTCTCCGCCGGAGAAGTCCCCGAGCCCGACGATCAGCGACGTGCTCTGGCCGTGGCCCTCGCCCGAGTCGACGTGCGGCGCGAAGGCCGCGCGCCGGTTCACCGCGCAGCGCGTCGACGGCGGCCGGCCCGGCGCGATGGCTTCCTCCAACGCGAAGACGGCATCCGCGAGCGCCGGAAACAGCGCGTCGGCGCGCGAGCCGCCGCCGCCGCGCGACAGCGTGAACGACGCCGCGTCGTCGCCGGGCTTGATCAGCTTCGACCGCGCGAGCGACGTTTTTGGCCACCGGCCCGAGTCGGACGCGCGCCGCAGCTCGGCGAGCGCGTCTCCGTAGACCGCGGGCGCCGGCGACAGGTCGGCGGCGTCGAGGAAGTCGGCGTCGCTCTCCGCGGCGACGACCGCGTCGAGGCCGTCGCGGGCGAGCGCCGCGAGCTCCGCGCGGAGCGCCGGCCCCTCGCCGGCCTCGAAGTCGCGGAGCCAGGCGGCCGACGACCGCGCGGCGACGGCGCTCCGCAGGTCGCGCTGCCAGGCGTCCGTGGCGCCGCCGCCCGCGAAGAGGTCGCCGGCGCCGCGCTTTTCGACGAAGTCGTAGCGCGCGCCCGCGAAATAGGCCAGGTCCGGCGGCAGGGGCGTCGGCAGCACAACGTCCCGCCGCGTGAGCACCTCGAAGGCGTCCGCCGGCAGCGCGCCGCGCGCGGCGAGCACGGCGACGGCGACGACGCGCCGGACCTGCTGCCGCAAAAAGCCGCGGCCTCTTACCTCGACGACGACCTGTGCACCGGGTAAACGTAGGCCCGCCGCGGCCAGTCCGAAAGGGGCCGGGGGGCGGATTCGCCGGCGCGAGTGCCTCTCGCCCTCGTTTGCGTGTCGCGCTCCTCGGTGGGAAAAAACGAGTCGCGCGATGTTGCGGGGCTTTCCGGTCGAAAAAAAAAGAGGACGCGGGCGCGCGCGAAGGTCGCGCCGTCGACCTCCACGAGCTCGGCCGCGCGGCAGCGGTGGAGCCGCGTCCGCGTCGCCGCGGAGAACGGCGACAGCAGGCCGCCGTCGAGGGACGGGTCCGCGAAGTTGTGCCACGCGCCCTTGGTCCGAGTTGCTTCCTTCAGCGCGGCCTTCAAGCCCTGGAGCGCGGCGCGCACGTCCTCGGGCAGGCCGCCGTCGCTCCGCGACACGTGCGCCGTGCCCAGCGCGCCGAACTTGCCGCGCGACGCTCCGATCTCTTCGCCCACTAAACCCCCCGCCCTCTCGACGCCGAGCCACGAGAGCGGCACGAGGTAGTGGTACGCGCGCTGCGTCGCCGACGCCTCCGCGTGGACGCGCTCGCCGTCGGCGCGGTCGAGCACGCGCACGTTGGGCGGGAGCCGCGCGTTGAGGTCGGCCGTGGACGCGACGGGCGCGGGCGCCGTGATCGAAATCACGTCGCGCGACGCGGCCCGCAGCTCGCTCTCGAGCGCCGCGGACCGGCCGCGGGCCTTGGACGACGACGCGCGCGTCGTCCTGGACGCGCCCGTCGCCGCGGCGACGAGCCGCTCGGCGTCCGCGCCGGACGCGTCGACGTAGCCGACGAGCAAGGTCGTCGTGAAGTCCCGGGCGCGCGCGAAGATCGCCTCCCGGGCGCGCGCGTCCTCCGCCGTCGCCGAAGCGCGGCAGGACTCGGCCTCGCGCAGGTGGCGGAAGACGGCGTTCCGCGACACGAACGTCCCGCCGCACCAGCGGCATCGATGCGCGCCGGGCGGCGCCGTCGACGGGTCCTTCGAAGGCTTCGAGGCCACGGGCTGGGCGCTCGCCCGTCGCGCGGTGCACCGCGGCGAGGTCAGCGCCGACGGCGGCGCGTGGAGCGCCGCGACGCGCGCGGCGAGGAGGACCAGGGGAAGCTGCAGATGCATCGCGCAGAGCGACCGCTAGGACATGTCCATCATCGCTTCGATCCCGACTTCACCTTGCTTCAGCATCGCTTCAATGCGCGTCGTTGAAGGCCTCGGCCGACGTATGGGCAGCCCCTTGAGCCGTCCTTCCTAGGCGCACGGCGGCCGCGCGAGCGCGATGACCGGTGCGGAGCGTCACTTCAAAGCATGAGCCGTTGGCCGCCCGCTTTGAGCTCCTTGTGAGTGCATGAAGCCATGATGGCAGCCCGCTTCGGGCTGCTCCTACTCCTCGCCGCGGCGGCGGAGGCCGTCCACTCGACGGCGGCCATGGCCGGCGCCGAAAAGATCATGGAGTCGCTCGAGGTCGTCGCGAGCCGCAACGCGACCGTGTCGTTCCCCGCGACGAAGGCCGACGGGCCGTACTCGTACTACGTCGCGCGCGCGTCCGGGCCGGCGCTCGTCGCCGGCGTCGTCGAGCGCGCGGGCGCGCGGCTGCGCGCCAAGTTCGACGCGCCGCTCACGGGCCGCTACTTCGTCGAGGTGCTGCGGCTCGTCGACGCCATCGACGCCGCGGCGGTCCTCGAGAATCGGACGCGGGCCGACGACTGGCCCTGCGCGAACCGGCCGCCGGACGCGACGGTCTTCGCCGGCTTCGCGTCCTTCGCCGCCGCGCCCGGCCGGCCGTCGCTCGCCGCGACGCGCGGGAGCGCCTGGATCAACGGCGGCGGCGGCGGCGGCTTCGCGCGGACGCGGTACCAGGTCTGCGGCCACAAGACCTGCGAGCGGGCCTACTGCGACGGGCTGGCGGCGGAAGCCGTCGACGCGGCCCAGGGCCTCGCGCGCTTCGCGCCCTACCGCTGGTTCGCGGCGCCGCCCGCGGACCGCCTCGCGTTCCGCCCGCGGAACGACACGGGCGCGCGCCGGGGCCCGTCCGTGTGCCTCGTCGGCGCGAGCCACGCGCGCAAGGTCTGCGACGTCCTCTTCCGCTGCCGCTACGTCGAGTCGCTCTACGCGCGGGACGTCCACGAGCCCGCGTTCGTGCGGAACCTGCTCGCGGCCGCGCGCGCGACGCGGTGCCGCGTCGTCGCGACCTGGGGCCAGTGGGAGGCCGCGGCCGTCGGCGACGCGGGCGCGCGCGGCTTCGCGACGCCGCTGCGCGGCTTCGCCGCGGACCTCGACGCGTTCTGCCTCCTGGCGACGTCGCTCACGCGGCGGCCCGTCTGGCTCATGACGACGGGCTACAGCCCGCTCGGCTGCATCCGACTCTGGTGCGTCCGGCTTTCTATCGAGCAGGCTTGTTTGTGCTCACGGGCGCATCGTACCCATCGCAGGTGCCCAGCGCTGGACCACCGCCTCCCGCCCGTCGCCGACGCGTACAACGCCGTGCTGCGGCGGGTCGCGGCGAAGCACGCGCCGCGCGTCGGCGTCGTCGACAACGAACCCATCGTCGGGCCCGTCTGGGACGCGGCGCCCGACTGGTGCCACGAGCAAGGGCGGGTCCTCGACGCCATCGCGACGAACGTCGTCGCGACGATCAAGGCCGACGTGGCGGCCTGGGCGGACGACGACGGGGGCGGCGCGTGGTAGCGTGGTGTGTGGTGCGTGCGAGGCCGGGCGCGAGGCCTGGCGCGGGCGACGGCGGCGTACGGCGCGGCGCGGCGGGCCGCACAGACCCGGCGGCCATTCGAAGGCGGCTCGAATGCGATGCCTCCGACTGCGCCTTGATTGAGAGCATGGATGCGGACGACGAGCTCGAGCTGCTCGAAGCGATGTACGCCGACGACGTCGACGTGCAGCGCTCGAGCGGCGACAACGCGCTGCTGGAGCGCATCGACGTGCGGCTGCGCTCCGACGGCGCATCGATGACCTTGCGACTGGCCTGTGACGGCGGCAAGTGGCGCACGAGCATCGAGGCCTGGCGCGGCCCCATGTCGGAGCGGTCGCGCGTCGCCGCGGCGGCCCGAGGCGATTCGATGCTCGAGATCGTCGACTCGGCGCGCGACGCGCTCAACGACGTCGTCGAGGCGCCGCCCGCGGCGGCGGCGGACGAGACCGTCGCGAAGCCGGAAGAAGAGGAGGAGTCATGGGCCGGCGCGCTCTGGGAGGTGACGCACTTTACGGGCTGCCGGTCCTGGCCGTCGCGGCGCTGGGTCGAGTCCGGCGGCGTCCACGTGCCCAAGGGCGCGACCGGCGTCGTCGCGGAATACGTCGACGGCTGGGTCCGCGCCGAGGGCTCGAGCCTCTGGATGCCCACCAAGGGCAAGTCGTCCAGCGTGCGCCTCGTCCACGTCCACAAAAAGACGACGTCGGACCAGAACCAGGAAGCTTGGAAGGAGAAGGCCGACGCGACGAAGACGGCGACGAAGAAGAAGGCGCGCGCGGATCGGCCGGCGCTCGCGGCGAACCGCCGCGGCACGGCCGTCGGCGCGCGCGCGAGCGACGTCGCGGCGGCGCCGTGCGACGACGTCGCGCCGCCGCCGCCGCTTCCGAGGGCGCCGAACCGCGCGGCGAAGCGCGCCGCGGCGTCGTCGCACAAGGACGCGCGCTACTTCTTCGACGAGAGCGCCTGGGTCGACGACGACGACGGCGCGGCGGGGCCCGCCGCGGCGATGCCCGCCGCGGCGGCGCCTCCGCCAGCCGCGGCGGCGCCTCCGCCCGCCGCCGCGGCGCCGTGGAACGCGGGCGCGGCGCTCATCAGGGCGCAGCTCGCGCGGTCCGAGCGGTGCCTCGTCGACGCGCGCCTGCTCAGCGACGCGGAGAAGTGCCTCGAGGGCGACTGCGTCTACGCGCCGGGCCTGCTCGCGGGCGACGCCTTCGGGACCGCGCTGAGGCTCGCCGAGGAGCTCTCGCGGCACGCGTCGGGCGGCGTCGTGTCGTGGAGCAGGCACCTCAAGCACGAGTCGCCGTCGTTCTCGCGGACTTTTTCTTCAGTGGTGGCCCAGCTGTCCCGCGAGTTCGACGTCGACGTCTTCGCGACGCGGCTGAACTTCTACCGCGACGGCGGCGACTGGAAGCCGTTCCACCGAGACTCCCACGCGTACTGCGGCGACGCCAAGGAGGATTTTACCATGGGCGCGAGCTTCGGCGACGCGAGGGATTTGGCCTTCCGCCACGGCGCCGGCGGTTATGAGTTTTCCTTTCCCCAGCGCGACGGCGACGTGTTCGCGTTCGGATCGTCGACGAACGAGGCGTTCCTTCATGGAATCCCGAAGCTCCGCAGCAAGAAATTAGGCGGCCCGCGCTTCTCGATCATCGCCTGGGGCCGGCGGCGAAGGCTGACGTCGAAGAACTCGACCAAAGCGGAGCGCGACGCCGCGGAGGAGGTCCGGGCGTACGAGGCGCCGCCGCCGCCGCCGCGGCGACCGGACCCGCCGCCGGAGGCGGACGACGCCCGCGCGGCGTCGGTGGTCCACCCGGACGACCTCCTCGCGCTCGTGCGCGACTTCGCGTCGAAGGCGGCGGTCGCGGCGCGCCTCAAGTCGCAGCCCGAGCGCGCCGTGCCGCGGCTGCAGCACCGGCACCTGCTCGAGGAGACGTAAGGACTCATCCTTAGCATCTAAAAACGCGGAGGGGAGGGGCTCACGTGTCGAGCGCGCCCTTGAGTTTTTCAAAGCGCTGCTCGACGGCGGAGCCGATGGAAAGAAGGTTCGCGGCCGTGAGCGCCGCGACGTCGCATAGCTGCGGCAGCTTCACCTCGGGCGGCGGCGCGACCGGCGGCGGCCGCGGCACCGGCGCGGCGGCCAGAGGCGGCGGCGCGGCGGCCAGAGGCGGCGGCG